GGCACAGGGAACTAGAGGATATGTTACCAGGATACTTCAGGCATGATGGAGTTCATTTATCGGAGGTGGGTTTGGATTTCCTTAACTTAGGCTTTCAGGACGGTCTTAGACAGGCCCTGTTTATTCGGGGTGGGGGCGCACAGGAGGCTTGAGGTGGTCAAGCTCTGTGCTGTGGCGGGGGATGGATTAGGTTAATTGGGGGTAGGTCGGTTTTTGGTAAGTGGGATAGGTCAGGAGGAATACTTACCTTTAGATTTGGTGGTAGGTTCGAGCTCGGCGGTAGCTACGAACCTGGGGGTGTAGGGGTGTCTCGGTATGCCCCTACACTGGAAATGGATGCCCTTGGTGGCTGGGATAATGGTGTAGGGGTGTCTTGGTATGCCCCTACAGTGGAAAGGGATGCCCTTGGTGGCTATGATAATGGCGTAGGGGTGTCTTGGTATGCCCCTACAATTGGAAATGGAGGCCCTGGGTGGCTATGTTAAGGTTTATGGTATTTATGCTATGTTATACTGTTAGTTGGATGTATTCTGTAAATATGTTGGAGGTCATTGTCTGGGTAGTTAGTTATGTTAATTGGGGGGATGTCTTTTCAAGCGTTGTTGACAATGACCTTTTAAATTTATATTTTATTATTTATATATATTTAATAAAGCCGTGGAATATTTTGCCAATTCATTCATGGCTCTCCCTCACTGCCGCGCGCGCGTTCCTCTCGCGAGGAGTGAGCTGGGAGGAAGTGACCACTTCCTCCCAGCAGAACTTGATGCGGCTGCTTTTTTTTTTTTTTAAAGGGGCCTGGTCGCGCTATAACACGGCTACAGCGCTGACCGGGCCCCTGAAGATACAGGGCCCATCGGGTGGCCCTAAGTGCATGGGCCACCCGATGAGCCCCATCAGCATGCGGGCCCTGGTGCAGGTGCACCGGCGGCAGTTCCGCCGGTACACGTGGGGCCTGGGCGGGCGGCCGGGCCCCCCAGGGCCGCTGGACCCGTGACAACCATTATGGTTGTCACCCCCTGATGGCGGCCCTGGCGATGATCGCTATATATATGTGCAGCCGCGGGCCCCCGGCTCCCTGTTTTTGCAGAGGGGGCCCAGCGGACTGCAGGAGCACTTTACAGATCTTCCCTGTCTCTAACTCCGGCGAGATGTGCGGCCGTTAGAGCGTTGCCACGGGTTACCATGACAACGCTCCGTGCGGCGCGCACACCACCTCTCACTGGAGTTAGAGACAGGGAAGATCTGTAAAGTGCTCCTGTAGTCCGCTGGGCCCCCTCTGCAAATACAGGGAGCTGGGGGCCCCACCATGCCACTGGACCACCAGGGATCATGGAATCTTCCTCCCTCCCTGTACCAGGTAAGAAACAGGGAGGGGGGAATAACTTTTATTACATTACATGCATACACTAGTAAACACACACACTCTGCATTCACTACACTAACACACACACTGCATTCATTACACACTAACAAGACTCTGCATTCACTGCATTCACTACACTAACACACACACACACACACACACTCTACACCCTTACTCCATATATGTTCTTGTGGAAAATAGATTATCCAAACTGAAAAAAAATTAAAAATTAAAAATCAAGAATACTTGATAATGCACATACTTTTAGTGGCAGCACTTCATTGAAAATCACCCTTCATAAATCGGTCCAACATTTGCAACCAAATTACGTACCAATACAAAATAGAACAAGGCTTTTATAGTGAGAGAGATTCATTGGAGAAATTTGAGGATAAGATGGTAAGTTTTGGAGCGCTCTTTCAAAAAGTAAATTTTTTAAACACTATTTAGAGTTGGTATGATTTTAAAGTTGCTGCTACAACACACTCTAGTTGTGATACCCTCAAACACACATATTGTACATAGAAAAAAGAGGTAATTGAGAGTGGAGCAGTATATAACAAATAACCATTTGGGTGATGTACCCCAAATATGTATAGAGTGTGAAGGAGTAGAGGCAATTCAAGAATAATACTTAATATTCAGATGACCTCCATATAGTAATTCCTCAGCACATATAGGAGAAAATACATAAGAAACACATACTGGTGTAGACTGTACATAAAGTTATTCAAATATAAGAGTATTCCCATAAAATGTACCCCAATAGTGGGCTCAGGAAAAATACTCATGCAATGAAATAAAATTTGAGGAATGGTGGTACCCTTGGAAGAAATATTTAGACCACCTAAAGTTGACAACATATTGAATGTTTCATTTATTGTCATTTCAACTCCCTAAACATTAACAATTTTATTTACGCTCTATATGGCTATTAATGTCTTACTGTATTGAAATATGACACCTCTAGATCACTCCACCTCAATGGCCTCATTTGCTCTCCCCACCCACCTTTTTTTATTTTTTTATTTTTTTGGGATGCGTGTATGGATGAAAAGTATGAATGATTGTTTTATATATTGTATACTCATGGTTAAAATCTATACAAAAAAAATTGCTTCTGATATTTAATAATGTAACTTTATAATTCATATATCTGCAATTTGAACTCAGAAATGTAATTAATGTGACTTATCTGTAAAGGAATATTTTGAAAAGTCTCAAAGAAGATTAAAGTAAACTGTTAATCATGGCACCCCACAATGCTCAACAAAGGACAGATTTCAATACTTTGAAAAACACAATCATGAGCACTTCAGTTGGGCACATATATGCACGTGTGTTTCATTGGATATATTTCTTCATTTTTGAAGTGTTGAAAACACAGAGGTTAATGGTCAAAACAATCAATAACATATCTGCCCTTAAATTTTTGATTGGCCTTAGTTATGCGGCATGCTTCTGTAACGAGGAGCACTATGGAAAACAAAAACAAAAAAAAAACAACTTGAAAAAATTAGAAAAGCGTGCAAAAGTTCATTTATTTCAGTAATGCAAGGTAAAAGGGGAAACTAATATATGAGATAGACGCATTACATGCAAAGCAAGATAGTTCAAGCCGTGATTTGTCAGAAATGTGATGATTATGGCTTACAGCTCATGAAAACCCCAAATCCACAATCTCAGTAAATTAGATTACATACAATCAATAAAACATGGAGTGTACATAGAACAATATCGGACCTCTGAAAAGTATAAGCATGCATATGGACTCAGTACTTTGTTTGGGCCCCTTTTGCAGCAATTACTGCCTCAATGCGGCGTGGCAAGGAAGCTATCAGCCTGTGGCACTGCTGAGGTGTTATGGAAGACCAGGATGCTTCAATAGCGGCCTTTAGCTCTTCTGCATTATTCGGTCTCATGTCTCTCATCGTTCTCTTGGCAATGCCCCATAGATTCTCTATGGGGTTCAGGTCAGGCGAGTTTGCTGGCCAATCAAGCACAGTAATCCCATGATCATTGAACCAGGCTTTGGTGCTTTTGGCAGTGTGGGCAGGTGCCAAGTCCTGCTGGAAAATGAAGTCAGCATCCCCATAAAGCTCGTCTGTGGAAGGAAGCATGAAGTGCTCCAAAACCTCCTGGTAGACGGCTGAGTTGACCCTGGACTTAATGAAGCACAGTGGACCAGCACCAGCAGATGACATGGCTCCCCAAATCAACACAGACTGTGGAAACTTCGCACTGGACTTCAAGCATCTTGCATTGTGTGCCTCTCCATTCTCCCTCCAGACTCTGGGTCCTTGGTTTCCAAATGAGATGCAAAAGTTGCTCTCATCAGAAAAGAGGACTTTGGACCACTGAGCAACAGACCAGGTCTGTTTTTCTTTAGCCCAGGTAGGACACTTCTGATGTTGTTCAGGAGCGGCTTGACAAGAGGAATACAACATCTAAAGCCCATGTCTAGGATCCATCTGTGTGTGGTGGCTCTTGATGCACTGACTCCAGCCTCAGTCCACTCCTTGTGAAAGTCCCCAACACTTCTGAATGGCCTTTTCCTAACATTCCTCTCCAGGCTGCGGTCATCCATGCTGCTTGTGCACATTTTTCTTCCACACTTTTCCCTTCCACATAACTTTCTATTAATGTGCTTTGATACAGCTCTTTGGAAACATCCAACTTCCTTTGCAATTACCTTATGGAGGGTGTCAATGATGGTGTTCTGCACAACTGTCAGGTCAGCAGTCCTCCCCTATGATTGTGATTCCTACTGAACCAAACTGAGAGACCATTTAAAGGCTCAGAAACCCTTTGCAGGTGTTATGGCTTTCTTAGCTGATTAGAGTGGGACACTGTGAGCCTAGAACATTGCACCTTTTCACAATATTCTAATTTACTGAGATTGTGGATTTGGGGTTTTCATGAGCTGTAAGGCATAATCATCGCACTTATGACAAATCACGGCTTGAACTATCTTGCTTTGCATGTAATGCGTCTATCTTATATGTAAGTTTCCTGTTTTACGTTGCATTACTGAAATAAATTAACTTTTGCACGATATTCTAATTTTTCGAGTATCACCTGTATATTTAGTTATTCTTGAGTGCACCACAATGCACCAATACACACCAGTGAAAGTAGGAGACAAAAATACTCAATTCTATACATTTTGTGTAAAGCATCTATATAATGTACGAAGAGATAAATAAACCACCTATTTCCTGCTCGACTCAGTACTGGTATGTACATACACACAGTACATGCACACAACTCAAATCTCTGCTCACTCAGTACTGGTATTTTTTCCATCCACTTATTTTTTGTTAATGCAAGTCTCTCTCTACAGTTTCTACAAGCATTTAAAAAAAAATGTCTGTCTAACACTCAATATTTATCTGAAGCTAAAAACAGACACGATATACCCATTAAGGTTACCCGTCCTAACTGCAATGTGTGATTTATTATCTACGTTTCTTTTAATTTGCTGAAAATATTTACTATAGATTATGAGATTGTTGTCATGTAAGCATTGGGATGTTTTTTGTAAGAGAGTAAATTCAGAATAAATTTGTAAATATATACGTTTCAATTGGTGCAGCAAAAAAAGGCTATTACTCATTAATTGTAACATTTGAATTAAGAAAACAGTATTGGAAAATATGCAATTTTATTATTTAATTTAGAAAGCATGTTCACATAGAACAATAATATAAAATGTATAGTCCTGTCCGGAGTCTCTTGAATGCCTATTAATTTAGCGAAGGACATCTAGGAGGGTGATGGTTGTTTATCAGTCTCATCTTTAGGTATTGGTTCCTGTTGAGCTTCTTCCAACATAGCTTTGATGTTTATATCTAGTACTGGATTATGACTTGTTGTCACTGGTAATTGCTGATGCTGCATCTAGAAGATGACATAACTTTATTAACATGAATTTTTAGTTACTTGGACAATAATAAATAATGTCAAACAGATGATGAACTTGTTAAAGAAGACAGGACTTACAAACAAAGGGAAAATGACTTATAATTTATTACCAGTATATAGAATAGGAGACACCTGTTTATTTGTTTTTATTTTGACAATCTTTGTTTATTAGAATTTTCAAGTTTGGTTAGGATTACAGAAAAATTAGAAGACAATGTAACAGGTGTTGAAACAGTACAGTATTGTGAACAAACATTCCCAAAATGGGATATGCAAAATGCAATATTCACAAGATGTTAGTTAGGTCAGGTTTGAGGAATGGAAAAAAAGATTTGGTACATGCATTCACATATTCTTCTTGCGGAATCAAACAGTGCGTTTCACATTGCATAAGTATTGAATAATTCAGAGTAATAGTTCGGTAGCCTGCATTTGCGTTGTTCAGACGATAATTCAGGGACCACTGCGTAGAGCTTTTTACATAGTAGCCTGGCTCAGATTTCTTAGAGTATACTTACTGCAATGAAAGCTAGCCACATAAAACACGTTTCACCTGGTACTCAGCACCCACCGCCACCCGACGACCCCATCGACAGCCTTCGGCTCGGCCATCGTGTGGCGGGGCGCGCCCTACGCTTAATAGTGCTCCTGAGATAACGCTTTCCTGACTTTTACCTTACAGAAAGCGTAGTATCTCCAGGGACGACACCCAAGTATATCGCCAGTTGTATAGTCTAGTCTTGTGTTACAGGTTTCGCATTCCAGGGAGTAGCTTCGCCCTTGTGGCCCATGGGCGAAGGGTCGTGTTTTCTATCCCTGGGCGGCATGTCCTTGACTAGAGCCATCCCTGTCTGGGTTGTGGAGTAGACCTTGGGCGTCGGCTGGTTTAGGGGCCCTGTCAGGGCTGCCAGTCCTCTGGCTATGTCAAGTGTACGGTGGTTGAAAATTGTACTGTCAGAGAAGGGGAGGAGGTTGGGAACAAAGATTTTCAGAATAGAGGGGGATGTTTCCCCCCTCACCCCAGCCAGTAGGATGGTTAGTCGTATGTCCACTGCACCTAGGTAAGCGGTCACCCTGTTTAGGTGGGGTTCGGGACCGGGTTACTGTTCGTCCCTCTGCCCACTCCTAAGATATAGGTCACCTAAGGGAACCAAGTCAGGGCACATTCATCAAAATGACCTCATAGGTCAGAAGTCAAGGATTCCATTGAGTAAATTTCCTCCACCCTCGTTCCCCACTGCTGGAGGGTGGGCACCTCCTGGCGCTTCCAAAATGTGGGTATTAAGGACTTTGCAGCATTAAGTAGGGGGAGTATTAAAAGGACCACTATAGGCACCCAGACCACTTCAGCTCAATTAAGTGGTTTGAGTGCCAGGTCCCTCTAGTTTTAACCCTGCAGCTGAAAACTGCTATGTTTCACTGAGGGTTAATCCAGCCTCTAGTGGCTCTCACTGACAGCCGCTAGAGGCGCTTCTGCGATTCTCACTGTGAAAAATGACAGAGTAATGCTTTCCTATGGGCGGTCTGAATGCGCGCGCGGCTCTTGCTGCGCATGCTCTTTCGGATCTGACGTCAGCAGGGGGTGGAGAGTTCCTCAGCACAGAGTAGCTGAAGGGAAGCCCTGAGGGTGGAGGGGACCTAATGACCCCATAGTGCCAGGAAAACAAGTTTTTGTTTTCCTGGCACTATAGTGGTCCTTTAATGATTTCTTGTATGTTTTCAGTGGTTGGGTGGTGTGGTGTAGAAGTATGGTCAGTGATTTCCTGTATTTTGGAGCGGATCATTTCCTAATAAGGGGCTATGAAGGGGTATGACCACCAGACGTGAATATTGGTTCCCATCTCTTAGCCATGTGTCAGGTATCTTAGTGTGCATGCGGTGCAGGACGTCCGGTGTCCTGTACCAAAATGTGAGTAATTATGTATCAAACTGATACAGCATTTGTGCTTAAGGGTGAAGATTTTGCCCCATTCCTGTGTGGTGTAGAGTCATCCCCGTGTCCCTTTCCCATTTGTTTGTGTACCCCAGAGGTGTGTTGCTGTTACGTATTGTGAGCATGGAGTATAGGGTCGAGATTCCCCTTGAGAGGTGTTTCCGAGTGGTGCATAGATGTTCAAAGTTTGTCAACATCCTGTGTAAGTGCCCCCTCCATGGTAGTGACATGTAATAGGTCTTGACTTGGTGGTAACAAAATTGTTCTAGTAGGGTTGGTCTTCTGTTTGAGCATAATTCTGTTAAGGTCTTGAGTTGGCTGGAGTTGCACCATTGGTGCAAGTACATATTTATTATTGCAATTTACAATCTGTTGGTTGGAAACAGGTCATGTCTCCTGGGGTTAGACCGTCTGTTAGTTCTGGGTTGTTCGTGATGGGCGTGAGCGGTGTAGGTGAGGTGGTAAGCGGTCTTTGGTATCGAAGGGTGCACCAGACCCCCAGGATGCTAGGGTGCTAACAGTTAACCCTGATGAGTTTAAGACTGGAGATTGCTCCATGGGAGACACCTGTTTTTTACAATGAGAGCTAACTGAATGATTGGGATGAGGTCTTGAGTTGTGGTAACTGACCCCATGACATCAAAAGACAACTGTTACTGCAATTCAGTAAGAAATTAATTCAAATTATCTTAAGAAACTGCTGTGGTCGCACTGCTCCTAATGCTCCATGACAGCAAGGGTATATTTCAAAAGTGTTCTGCATTTTGGGGAGATTCATAGATCTTTCAATTCATTACTTTTTTTTAAGTTGTTTAGATGAATAGTCATCTTTTTCATTAATTTCACTGAAATAAGTGTAAATATTCTGCCTCTTTCTGCACCATAACAAAAAAATAATCAAACAAGATTGTTTTGTAGAAAAAAAAAATTAAAAGAAAAATACTATAGCAACACAATGCAAAAATAATAAGACCATCGCTACTGGTTACCGACTACAATAAATAAAAAGAGCACAAGAATTAATTGGAACTTTTACTCCTGATTAAATTGATCTATTTGGTATTGATATAAATTCAAGTTGTAAGGTTCGCCACATCTGCATTTCTTGTACTCACATTTATGAATATTGACCAATATTACATCACATCACATCATTTTTAAATTTCTTGTTATAGTGTTCTGCAGATGTGAACGTAAACAGCTAACTATGCATCAATTAGACTATATTTGAATACAGTATTCGATGATATGTCTATAGGTAACTGAATACATATTTTCTTGTGGTCTACAAAGGACAAACTGGTCTTCAGTTATATTGTCCCCTTTTTGTAAGCTCTAACCTGGATATCTGTCCCATTCATGCCAATGTGAATGAAGCCCATGGAGAAAGCACAGCTTAGGGAGTAGGGCCCTGACAGGGCTAGGTAGAGCAGTGCTTGGGGGTTGGCGGATATAAATGGTCGGCCATTTTATGACCCCTCACGCTAATTTTCTTACCTAGCAGAGTTGGTCCTTGCCTCCCTCCCTTTTTAGCCTTTTTTTACCGATTGGTCACAGCGGCGGGGTGGGGTAAGGGACATTAAGGATAATGGGCCTTAGTTAAGAGAGGAATAAGGGGAGTTAGTTAATTGGTTAGTTGATTGGTTAAAAGGGTACACGGTTTGTACATGTTTTGGTAGGTTTCAAGTCCATTAGTGGCTCAGAACCTTGGTGGTGGTGTTTTTTTAAAATTTATTGTAATCTTTATTATCATTAAAGCTGCGGACGATTTGACCCATAACCCTAAGTGTCTTGGGTGGGTTGGGTTCAAGTCATATATCCCTCCCCCTGCCCATATGGCGACTGTGCACCTGTTAAGTAACCATCAGGCCCAGCTAGCCGATTAGTTGCTGCAGTCTAACAGCTTGTGATGTGGTTACAGCTATATGACTGTGTCTGCAGCAGCACTCAAGCATAACAGTTATTTCAAAAAAAGCCTTCCCACCCTACATTTCAATGACTGATCTTACCCCAGACATTCCTTTTCTTCTTAAAATAATCCCTTCAGCCAGAAGTGCTTTGCCTGTTTCTTCAAATAGCTTATCTTCATCTTGTTCTAGTTTCTGAAGTTCAATATATTTCTCCACAAACCTGTGAAGTGACCAATGTAGCCGTTAGCATAAATCTTGCAAAACCCACAGTAAAACAAACTAAAAAAAATTGTATTGCTCAAGTGCTTGGAACATGTCTAGAATTTTATTGCATCAACAAATAAGGCTTTCTGCTACATCACAACCAGTGTTAATTTTGGCAGCAAATTTTATTTTAGTCATAGTATTTTGAATAAAAAGCCATTTTAGTTATCTAAATTGTTTTATTTTAAGTGTAGTTTTAGTAGACTAAATCTACTGGAGATTTTAGTCAACACGACTAAAATCTAATGGGTTTAATTAAAGCCTCTGTCTTTTTGGCCTCTTCCCCAGCACCTCTGTGTCTCTTTGTATCCTCCCAGCCGGATTGGCCCACCGGGATACCGGGAAATTTCCTGATGGGCCGTGGCAGCTGGGGCCCGGCTGTCAGCCCAAATCATTAGGCTAATGTCATTGAAATTATTTTCCCCTCGGACTGTGCCAGGCTATGTCAGTCCGAGGGGGGTTAAGAGGGAGGAGCTGGGGGTTGGTGCGGCCGCAATTAGGCTGCTGGCGGCCGGAGAGAGACCTGTCAGTCTCCCATCAAAACTTACAGCAATTTCGGCTGCATGCCCCGCCTCCGCGCGCAAGCTCCGCCCCCACACACGTTGCTGACCTCGCTGGAAGGAATAGGCCACAACATGTCAACTTCACCTACCAGTGCCAGGTAAGCTTGTGTGTTCCTGCTAGTGAGTGAGCTTGTGTGTGTGTTCCTGCTAGTGAGTTAACGAGTGTGTGTTCCTGCTAGTGAGTTAACGAGTGTGTGTTCCTGCTAGTGGTGGCTTAGACTGATGCTGGTTTATTTAGACTGATGTTGGCGTAGATTGATGCTGGCTTAGACTGTGTGTGTAGCTGCTAGTGAGCAGGTTAAGTGAGTGTGCCTGATAGTGAGTGAACGTGTGTGTGTGTGTGTGTATGACTGCGAGTGAGCTTGTATGTGTGTGGCTGCTAGTGAGTGACCTTGTGCGTGTGTGTGTCGCTGCTAGTGAGGGAGCTTGTATGTATGTGGCTGCTAGTGAGTGAGCTTGTGTGCCTGCTTTTGAGTGAGTGTATGTGTATGTGTGTGTGTGTGCCTGCTTTTGAGTGAGTGTATGTGTGTGGCTGCTCCTGAGTGAGCTGGTGTGTGTGCCTGCTCCTGATTGAGCTTGTGTGTGTCAGTGAGCATGTGTGTGTCTGTAGTGAGCAAGTGTGTGTGAAAGTGAGCTTGTCTGTAGTAAACTTGTGCGTGTCAGTTTGTCTGTACTAAATTTGTTTGTGTACCAATAAGCTTGTCTGTGTGTGTCAGTGAGATTGTCTGTCAGTGAGCTTGTGTTTTTATGTCAATGAGCGTATGTATATCAATAAGGTTGTCTGTCTGTGAGCCTGTGCATCAATGAGCTTGTGTCAGTGAGTGTGTATGCATACTGTATAATTAAATGTTTTACTCTGAAAGGACCAATATTTTGAATAAGAAAAATAAATATACCAATAATATGTAAGGCCATGTTTTCCCACCCCAGATGATAGATAGAGATATATCAATCATATAGGGTGGCAAAACATAGCCTTACATATTATTGGTACATTTATTTTTCTAATTCAAAATATTGGTCCTTTCAGAGTGTGTGTAATTAATATATGACTTATTGGGCTGGCATTGATTTTTTTTTTTTTACAGGGATGCTTTGTATCCCCTGTCCGGTCCTGCTCCCAGCCCCTTGAGGTGTCTCTCTCTTTTGCCCCTTCCGCAGCCCCTCTGTGCAGTGTTAAATTTGGTAGACTATGACAAAAACTTAATTTCAAATTAGTTTTAGTCATAGTCTTTTGACTAAAATGCTATTTTAGTTTTAGTCGTATTTTAGTCATCTGAATTGTTTTAGTTTTAGTCTATTTTTAGTCGGCTAAATAAAAAAAAAATTGTATTTAATGAAAATTGTTAGTCAACTAAATGAACACTGCTCACAACAAGGTGTTATACCAATACCCAATTTGTCAATAGGGGCAAGCCTTTTCTAAAGGACTTAAATCAGTCTGATATACAACTGAACAACAACTGAATAAAAAATAAAATTTGTTTGGATACTTGATCACACAGTAAGGTATATTGTTTTGCTATTAACATTATTAAAAGAACACTATAGGGTTAGGAATACAAATAAATATCCTTAGTGCTATAGTGCCCTAGTCATCATTTAGGTCACTGGACCCTTTTGCCGGGGTTAAAAAGGAGAGTGAAAAAAAACAAAACTATCCGTATAGCCTAAGGGCATATGGAAAAGGAGTAACCGGGAGAGGCACAAGGCAAAAATCTTAGTCGCCATGGCTTTAACCCCTTAAGGACCAAGCTTCTGGAATAAAAGGGAATCATGACATGTCACACATGTCATGTGTCCTTAAGGGGTTAAACATGTTTAAAGAAACACACAGATATCAGTGTTGACTAGGAACACAAAATATTTAATGTCACACATCACTTATCACTTCTGTGTTATAATTGCACAGGTTGTAAATGTGCCATTAATATTTCAATGTCAGCATACAGCTTTCAAGACTGTTCTACCCAACAAAAGTTAAAACCGTCAGCAACATAAAACTGAGCTTCGTTTCAGAGGCAGTATTTAGAAAATGGTTAAGGCATTTATGAACTGTGATGGTGCTGAAAACAAACACACAATACTGGCCGATGTTCAGAAAGAGTTATCACATGAAAACCAAATGAAGGATTGTCATGGAGAGCTATCTTTGAAATATTCTTTATAACTTACCTCTGGCATGTGGATCTAAAATTTGTTTGTCTCAATTCAAAAACTCTTGGCCCATTGCCATATGCTTCATAGAACTTTCTGTTGTGTGTGAGAAAATAAAAGAAAAAGAAGAAGAAAATATATTAAGTATGTTTGTTCAGTACAAAATACAAAAAGATATAAAGCATTTTCTTGTCCCTAGATGAGAAAACAAATAAAGGGTCTCTTTAAGCACAACTAAAGTACATTTATCTGTCTCCCAGATTTGAGTCTTAAAGAAAAAACAAACAAAAAAATGTTCCTCTGTTCAACTTGTTCCCTTTGAATGGGTTTGTTCACTAAAAATTGATTCGAAAAACAAATGGTAAAATTAATTTCTTAAATTTACTGATTGATAAAGAAACCCCATTAGGAATTAGAAATGTTACCCATCATAAAAAAAACTCAAAATAATCAGAGAGTTATTCAAACCTGGGACTATAGGGAATCAAGGGGGGGAATGTACAATCTAAAGTAAATTAAGGTGGTTTGGCTATTTTGGAATTCACTAATAAATTCCTGTCAATTCTTGAAAGTAATGTCAGAGAGGCAGTTAAATGTTTCTTCCAACTTTTACCTATTTAATAGCATATAAAAGAATGTTATGTTCATGCGAGCAGCACATGGAATTTCTGTATCAGAATTTCCAAAATATTATTCTCTGGGCTAGAACAAAAACAAGAAACATGAGGCAATGCCAAGGATTCATTTATTTACTCACGCTCTAATTAAATCCTCTTGATAGAAAATGGCAGGCACATTGTCTTCGACTTTTCGACTCGTAGATGGTTTTTCATATAATGGCTCTCTTTTTGGTGGGAAAGCAGTATACACATCAAACCAGATTGGCTTATTATTTGGTTTAATAACTCCTGAACGCAATAGATCTCGTACTCTATGGGAAAATAAGCAAAATCAAATTAATTTTATAATAGACAACTAGGTATCTCATTATCAGAAAGAAATTTTAACGGAATATATTTTAATAGAATGTAATAAACCTATCTGTGGCAAGCAAAATATTTAAATTTTTGTTGTGTTTGCGCAAAGTTAAAAGGACACTCTTGTCACCCAGACTACTTCATCTAACTGAAGTGGTTTAGGTGCAGTGTCCCAGTCCCACTTAGTCCTGCAATGTAAATCATTGCAGTTTTAGAGAAACTCCAATAATTACATTGCAGAACTAAGATGGTCTCTAGTGGCTGTCAGACAGCCACTATGGGCACTTCCTGCTCGCTAACTGACTTTTGGTTGCCTAACTGACTCTATACATCCTCACGCTCTTCATGAGGACATCCAGCATCAGTAAAATCCCCATAGGAAAGCACTGCTAATGAACTTGTAGCGTTTCCACGCATTAGCCCCAAATTTGTATTCCTAACATTACAGAGTCCCTTTAACTTCCCTGTTACTCATGTTGTACACATACCTTTATTACACACATGTAGGGCTTTATTTTTATACCCTATATAAATAAATAACTCCTCGTTTAGTATGGAGAAAATTGAAAATGTTGATAATTTGTAGAAAACAGTGCAGCAATAGAAAAGTATGTAAAAAAATAAAAAAATAGATTGCTTAATTAGTCTGACTTGATTTTCAAAATACCCCATACCTAGGATTTTTATATATAGATCACAGTTTCAAGTCATACAGCAAAAGGAGTGCATTCCTGTTTGAAAGCTGGAAATTCTGGAATTTAACTGAATTAAATAGAATTTATTTAACCCTTTTTAAGGGCCTTTCACTCCCTGCTAACTACTCCCAGACGCCCTCCTTCTGCACTGGAAGAATACATCACTTTATTACCTAAACCAGGCAAAGACCCCACGATCTGCGGGAACTACCACCCTATTTCTCTAATAAACGTAGACCTTAAACTATTCACCAAAATTTTAGCCACTGTCCTACGCTCATTCATGCAGACACTGGTCCACCCTGACCAGGCCGGTTTCGTGCCGGGCAGGCAAGCTAGAAATTACACCACCAAGCTATTGAATTTGATCAATTTATCCACATCATCTACACAACAGAGCTTATTGCTCTCAATTGATGCCGAGAATGCTTTTGACAGGGTGGACTGGTCAATGCTCTTCACTACACTACGGGCCATGGGATTTGGACAAAATTGGTTATGGTAGTTGGGGACAATTTATTTGGAACCCACGGCAAAACTAAACATTAATGGCCAACTGTCTGTTCCAGTGCATATGAGAAACGGCAATATCGGATCAACATTTTAAAAATGAATGCCCTTCCGCATCTGCTATACCTCTTGCAAGCGCTACCCATTCTCATTCCCAAAATCATTTTTCCAAGAGGAGCCCTCATTCATATGGGCATCCAAACACCCTAGGAAACCATTTGACATGTTGTCAAGACCCAAGTCTCTGGGAGGCTTAGGCCTGCCGAACATTGAAGTCTACCAAAAAGCAGTTTTCCCAACGAGAAATTTTGAATGGTCCAACCCAAACACGATGAAACAATGGGTATCGAGGCGACTAGGTTTTGGTTGTCTCTACACAAGATCCCGTGGCACAAACTATCCCGGATAGCTGCTGGAGATGTCAACAGCCACAAAGCACACTAATACATATATGGTGGTCGTGCCCCATTAGCCAACGATTCTGGGACAAAATCTCGAAACTCATTAAGAAAATCACAGCAGTACCTCTGCCTTTAGACCCCAAATCCCTCTTATTCGGGCTCATTGAGGTTCAGAGACACAAACCCACCAATATACTGTTATTCCACCTGCTGACGGCAGCAAATCTACTGATACCCCTTGTGACGCAGCTCCCTGTACCCCGGCTGGGTACCTCCGCCAAGGATCGCTTCCTAGCTGGAATAGGGGACAAACCACAGTACTGCTGCCCACAGTCACCGTAGCTTGACTTGGGCCCTGGAACCACTCTCTCCTGGAGCCGAATGAGTAACTCACTCTAGCAACCCACAGGCACTGGACAACACTCAGTCCTGGGAGCTCTAGTCTTTACAAGGAGTTTCCCCGTTGAATCCTCCACACTGGAACAGTGATTAAAGAATAGCCCTTTACTCTCCCAGTAACCAGACTACACATAGTTCTGGGAGTACAAGCTGGAACACTTTAATGGTGGCCACAACTGACCTTATATGCATGTCCCCATGAGTAAACCACAATAAAAACAAATACACAATTACATTGGCTCTCAGGTCCAGGACACTCCCATACAAAAATCAGATAATCCCTTCTCTGGGACTGGGAGTTACTTCGATCAGGAACTGTACTAATCTAATCCAATTATCTCCAAGCACAGAAAAAAAAACACACACACACACTTTTTCCCAAACACCACAAAAGTACCCTAACAATACATACATAGAAACATAGAATGTGACAGCAGATAAGAACCATTCGACCCATCTAGTCTGCCAAATATTTAAAAATACTTTTAATAAGTACCTGGCCTTATCTTAAGTCTAGGATAGCCTTATGCCTATCCCACGCTGACTTATCCCTCCTGGTACATCAACCCTGTTGCAAATTTTAGTATTATCAGCAAAAAGACATACCTTACCATCAAGACCTTCTGCAATATCCCTAACAAAAATATTAAAGAGAATGGGTCCAAGTACAGATCCCTGAGGTACCCCACTGGTAACCTTGCTTCGAATATACTCCTGTCCGTGACTTTGCCGGCTTAATATGATATAGGGAAGTTGAACCGCAAGCTGGAACGCAAGCTGGAACGCACGGATATGACGCGACGGCTTGCGATCGAAAAAACTGGAAGTGATGAACCGACAGTGGTACCCGGAAATGGATAGGAAAAGAGGCTTGACACGCTGGGCGTCACCATCACTATGGTGATAGCCCGCGAAAATTCAAGCCGAAAATTAAGCATCTTCACCCCGGAGGGGTACATATAGCAGGAGCCAGTACAAGAAGGAAACAGACTTTTTTCACATCCAGCTGAGGAAGCCTTCACGGCGAAACACGTCCTGGGAATATTGTGAGCAAAAAGACTTTTGAACTGTGCTATTATCTCTTCTGTGTGTGATTTGGAAACTCATAACTTGCATGGCCTCTTTCTGACTAATCTTATAGATCTGTCTGTCTTCCTCACTTTTTTTTTTTATAATTACTAAAGGCTGACTTTTTGGGTTTTTTACTATTTTCGCCACATCTGCGGAGTACCACAGTGGTTTCTTAAATTTTTTTGCTTTTACTGACAAGCCTAATGCAATTTTCTATTGCCTTCAGCAGCGCAACTTTTAAATAATCTAATTTCTCCTGGACTCCATTTAAACTGCTCCAGTCTGACATTTTTGTGACAAACCCCACAAAAATTACATACCGCAAAGAGTAAACCCACATCTGGTAATGACTGCTAAAATTGAGAAACAAGGATCCTATCCCTTGTAGGGAACGCCCCCCCCATCTCCCCCTTAGGGCTGGCAGCGAGGCCTATATAAGCACAACTTGCCTACAGAACAATACGCATTGGAGGCACTGGCTACAGCTTATACCAAATACTGAACCCGAAGTTACATTATACACGGGTTATGAATTGGTAACATAAAAGCCATACTAGTACAATACTGCTGACCAGGGCTGCCATCAGAAATTTTGGGGCCCCTGATACAGCTCAAGGTCTGGGCCCCCCGGTGCCTGCACCCGAGTCCGCCCAAAATGCTGCCCCCCCCCCGAGTCTGTCCACAGGGATGCAGTGTCTCTACTGATTCTGGTGTGTGTATAGTGGATGCAGAGTTTGTGTTTTAAGTGGATGCGGTGTGTGTTTAACGGATGCAGTGTGTATAGTGGATGCAGATTGTACATTTGTGTAATGTATGAGGTGTATATTGGATGCAGAGTGTGTGTTTATAGTGAATGCAGAGAGTGTATGTGTGTTTGTGTAGTGGATGTAGTGTTTGTGTGTATTAAATGCGATGTGTATAGTGAATGCAGAGTGTGTGTTTGTGTAGTGGATGTAGTGTGTGTGTGTGTAGTGAATGCAGAGTGTGTATAGTGGATGTAGTGTTTAGTGAATACAGTGTGTGGATGCAGAGTGTGTCTTTGTGTTATTCGATGTAGTGTGTGTATAGTGACTACATAGTGTGTGTTTGTGTAAGTATTTAATGTGTGTATAGTGACTGCAGACTGTGTGTTTGTGTAGTGGATGTAGTGTGTGTAGTAACTACAAAGTGTGTGTGTGTGTTAGGAAGTAGTGTGTGTTTGTGTAGTGACTCCAGAGTGTGTGTTTGTGTAAGGATGTAGTGTGTGTAATGACTGCAGAGTGTATGTTCGCTCGCGAGACTTCGACAGAGCATCTGGGCAGTATATTTCAAGTGTGCTGGGCCCCCTGCAGAATACAGGTAGCGGGGGGCCCGCAGTGCACACATATATAGCGTTAATCGTTATATATGTGTGCACATAGCTAATGTGGGCAGTGGCGTACACACAACCCATGGGGCCCCGGTGCGAAAACTGATCCGTCCCCCCCCACGCGCGCTTACTCTGCACGGGCTTGGGCCGCAACACATGGTGGCGGGCAACTGGTCGCAGGGCTGCGACCGCGGTATGTACGCCAGTGCATGCAGATACACTTAAAGGACCACTACAGACACCCAGATCACATCAGCTCAATGAAGTGGTCTGGGTGCCAGGTCCCTCTAGTTTTAATCCTGCAGCTAAAAACATAGCAGTTTCAGAGGGTTAATCCAGCCTCTAGTGGCTGTCTCATTGACAGCCACTAGAGGAGCTTCCGCGATTCTCACTGTGAAAATCACAGCGAGAAGACCCTGAACGTCCATAGGAAAGCATTGATTAAAGCTTTCCTATGGGCGGTTTGAATGCGCGCTCGGCTCTTGCCACGCATGCGCATTCGCAGCTGAGAGGCGGATCAGGGAGGAGAGATCCCCAGCGCCAAGAGAGTCCGGCGCTGGAGAAAGGGAAGTGCTTAAGACACACACACTCTCACGAACAGACGCATACATTTACTGTCAGACACACACTCAGTAACAGACACACACAGAAACACACTCACTGACACTAACGCACACACACACACATTTTTTTTTTTTTTTAATTTCATCCCCCCAGCCTCCCTACCTTTGGAAGTGCTGAGGGGATTCCCTGGTGTCCAGTGGTGTCACCCGGCGGACAGGCTGGCGGGCGCGTGCGAGGGAGCACTCTCCCTGGCTGAGTGCTTCCTGTTTAGCTCCCTCACACGCCGCGTACTGATGCCGGAGCCAGAATATGATGTCATCTTCCGGCTCCGGCAACAGTGCGGTACGCGAGGGAGCTGAAGAAGAAGCACTCAGGGGAGAGTGCTCCCTCGCGCCCGGCGACACCAGGGCCCACCAGGAGAAGAGGCTGGCCACAGTGGGTACATACCGGGTCGCAGGTCGGCTGGGCCCCCTGGGACCCCGGTATGTACGCCACTGAATGTGGGGCCCAGGACGACCTGAGCAGTCCGGCCCCCCCAGGACTGCCGGGCTCATGACAACCGTTATGGTGGTCATGCCCTGATGGTGGCCCTGCTGCTGACGGTCAAATGTACTACTGATCCCACTCCTAGCCTTCAGTCCCAATAAAGGTCACAATAAGCCAGCTCATACTAGTTACTTGGTGGCAATCAACTGTTTCTGGATGGGCCAAAGATGTCTTAAGCAAGAGCCAGTGTGAAAAGTGACCTGGGGACAGTTAGAAGTTTATGTTGTATTATATATATATATATATATATATGAATATATCTATGTATTACATAGACGAGGCATTGATACTACATGTACCACTGTGTATCTCTCATTGTTTAGTAATTTACTGTCTTTCCTTTGCATCTGTTGTAACCTGAATAATATGCAAATAAAAAAAATTACAAACAAAAAAAAAAATGTATTTTTTTTGTGTGCTGCCTATCAGCATGCAGTGATAAATGTCCATGAACATATTTTATCCGCTGGCCGATGGGGGGTTCAAACACCTGCTCGGTGTGTCACTGCTGTCTGTGAGATAATTGATGTAATGCCATTGTCTGCGAGCACAGGGTTACATACCGGGTGTACACTGTGCCCAGCTTCTCCAGCCTGCTCCCTGCCATGGTGCTGTCTCGGGATGTTCAGGCCAGGCTGGCGGTGTCGCCACTTGATGACGTCTATAAATGCCGAGGACCGTCAGACATTTTTGAACCTGGCAAAAGTCTACCTCTCGGCTATCTCCCCAGCGAGAGTCTCCATGTTATGTGGCCCATCAGCGTAGACGGGTGTCTTTTTTCACGTTTTGTTTATTTCGGAATACAGTTGACATTGTTACTGTGCACACTCACGCTCCGATTCCAGGGACACTATAGAAAACAATGTCTGACTGAGGAGGAGGAGGAGCGAGGTGTCGTCTCAGCCATTGTTATCGATCGCCGAGCTGCCGAGCGCCCTTCACTGGGTGTCACGTGACCCAGCCTCACCTTCCTCTAGCCGGCGTTGATGCCCTGTGTGTTACCCGCGCTGCCTGTGAGAGCTATTGCCGTGTGTTACCCGCGGTGACAGCCAGGCTAAGCGGGCTGCTTTAACACCCTGCAGCCTCCCAGCTCCCGCAGCCAACCAGCGAGCACTACTGGCGCGCTCGTGACGTCACGGAACCTCTGTCCAATAGGATCGCGAGTTGGGCTGAGTTGCTGTTTTTGAATTGCTGTCCCTGGTATCGCTCCCGCAGGCATGGCGAAGCGCAGACTGGGAGAAGACCGGCGGCGGCTGCGGCGGGACAGGCACAGCGAGGTAACCTGGCATCGCCAATATTATCCATCCCATCAGTGGGGGCAGCACCGGGGCTAATAGCGGGCCATAGTACACCGACAGCCTGATAGCATAGAGCGGACCAGAGCTCCTTATAGCGGGGGGGGGGAGAGTTATCATTGTGTCAATCTGTATGTTACAAGCTGAACTGACTCTTCTGTGGAAGTCCAATCCTTACTATGTATTAAAGTTATTTTTGGCACCACATCAAAGCTAAAGCTTCCTGACTGATTCCTCTTCTGCAACTGTCACTAGTCTAATACTATCCTTACCTTTAGTGTCATTTTACCCCACTCCCTCTACCGTGTAAGCTCATTGAGCAGGGCCCTCAACCCCTCTGTTCCTGTGTGTCCAACTTGTCTGGTTACAACTACATGTCTGTTCGTCCACCCATTGTAAAGCTGCGGAATTTGACGGCGCTATATAAATAATAAATTAGACGTGTAGTGCATGTGCAGCTGGAAGACTTTGCGACATCACCAGTGATGCAGATCCCAGCTGTGAATGTGTATATTCGCAATGTGACTTTCTCACTAGTCACGGGGGACAACAAGCAGTTAGAGAAAAATGTACGTTCTTTAAACAAACTATGCTTGTGTGGTGTATATAGATTTAAAGAAACACAATAGGCACCCAGACCAATTCAGCTCATTGAAGTGGTCCAGGTGCAATGCCTCTTTCCCACTTAGTCCTGCAATATAAAACATGTCTACCAAACTGCCACTAGAGGCACTTTCAGGATTTTACTGGATTTTAGGTTGCCTAATTGCTGGATGTCCTCACACTCTGCATAAGGACATCTAGCGTCAGTAACATCCTCATAGGAAATAATTGATTCAGTGCGCATTAGATCTCCCTGTTGGAGGTGGCGGAGCACCAACCCATCATTGATGGACATCGGTGCTGGAATTGGATGAGTAAATAATGTTTTTTTCAGCCCTTTTACATGACGGGGGCTGCAAGGAAGGTGGGGACCAGAGGGCACTATAGTGTTAGTAATACAACTTTGTGTTCTCAACACTATAGAATTTCTTTAAATGAAAGCCGAATACAAGGGTTGAATGGTGTAATGCAATGCATGCCCTCTCGATGGCGAAGGATAGTAAAGTGCTTTGCAGGTTGCATGGTATGAACTGGGTTAATGTAGTGACATTGCAGACTTTCTGTTTGGAAGTTAAATGGTTTGTGGGGTGATGTGTTGTAGGCAGTCTGGAAAGTATAGGGTTACTGGAGTGACACTCTTGGATTGTGAACTCTAAGCTGTAGTAGAGATGTAACATTTCCAGAAATATTGAAGCCATGAAAAAAAGCAGATAATTTTCCAGAATTTTTTTTTTTTTCTGAGGGAAAAAAAGTGGCATACTCTTACAAATTGTAAGTATATATATATATATATATATATATATATATATATATATATATATATATATATATATATATTTATATATATTTTTTTTTTTTTTAACCCTGCAAGTGAAAACATTGTAGTTTTGCATAACTGCCCATGCGCACTAGCCTCCCGATGCTTTCTCATGGGGGAAAAAAAGGTGAAAAGAAGGCAGCATTGAATTCCTCTCAAACCCTTCAATATATCTGTGGAAGAAACAAAGATCTTTGTTTCACATGGGAAAGCATTGGATTGGCTGAGATCACCTATCTCTATAATCTCAGCCAAGGAGGCGGGACGGCAATGCGGAGACTGGCTATGCAAGTGAGAAATACGGCTTTCAGTCACGGCGCCATGCAAATACTCACCTCTGAAAGAGCGATTACATGGCAAGCATAGCTGCCAGCAGGGGAACTGCATGGGCTGTCAGTCCGTCCCCCTAATGGTCAGAGGAGGAAAACATAATGTTAATGCAGCAATCAGAACAAAAATAAATACATATAATCCATAATAAGTGTGTGTGTGTGTATGTGTATATATATGCCGTTGTACTTGGGAGACTTAAAGGACCACTATAGGCACCCAGACCACTTCAGCTTAATTAAGTGGTGTGGGTGCCAGGTCCATCTAGGGTTAACCCTGCAGCTGTAAACATAGCAGTTTCAGAGAAACTGATATGTTTACATATGGGTTAATCCAGCCTCTAGTGGCTGTCTCATTGACAACCGCTAGAGGCGCTTCTCACTGATTTTCACAGTGAGAAGACGCCAGCGTCCATAGGAAAGCATTGAGTAATGCTTTCCTATGGACTGAATGCACGCGCGGCTCTTGCGGCGGATGACGTCGGAAGAGGGAGGAGGTAAGTGATTAACCCCTTCCTCCCCTTTCAGCCCGGCGGGATAAAAACCTGCACATGATGAGTACTGTTATACTCGTGAGACATTACTCTACACAGATATGAGCGTTTTAGAGCAGTAAAATGTATGTTACTGATGATATCGGTAAAAGGGCAGTTTATTTCTGAAAACTGCAAAAAAAAAACACAAATATAAACGCTCACTATTGCCAGGGTTTGTGACTAATTGGCTCACGAACTATGATCAGGGTTTGTGACTAAGTGGCTACTAAAAAGATAGGACATATACCCAGGGACGTACTAGTTGCGAGGCAAACAAGGCATTTGCCTTGGGCGGCATTTTCCAGGGGGCGACAACAAAAAGCCGCCCCCAAATGCCCAGGGCAAATGTCTTGTTCTTCTGAACAAAATGATATGTGTGGGTACACTTAATATGAAAGAGGTGAATTCTGTTTGAACATGTAGCGCAAATTCCAGGTTTTGTTTATTTTGATTAAAACGTGTACAATTGCCTCCGTCCTTAAGGGGTTAAAAGCTTTATATTGGCTTTGTTACTGACTTTCTTAACTTTTGTTTATCTTTTCTTTTGATATTTAATTTTTTTTTTTTTTTAGTCATGCCTCTGTTACACAATTAACTTTCTTTTTTTTTTCTTTTTTTTTGTACACTAGGATTTTGATAGGAATCCTCGTTCTGATTTGAACTCTCCCTTTCAAGCAAATTTTAATCTAGTGGATTCTCTAGACCGAAATGAAAAGATTTTTCAAAAGAAGATGAACGTGATTTTTGAAAAGGTAGATCTGTGCATTTTCTGTTAATTTTATATGCATCTAATTTACAATATTTTATTTTCATGCGTTATGGTTTGAAACACTTTTTAATTAAATAATATAACGTTTCGTTTTATTTGAAAAAGAAAAAAGTATTTTCTCATGGCCAAATTGATATTGCTTAAAAGAGAACTCCAAGCACAAAAACCACTACACAGGGATGTGGAATTTATATCCCATAATGCTTGAGACATTTGGTATGGACTTCTAGCAGAGGACAGTATTTTGGGCAGGGAGGGTGATCTCTAAATTTGCAGACTTATGTAAATGCTAAATTCACAGTTTCGGCACTCTTTAGTGAGTAAGAGCACATTGCAGACTCCCATGCACTCTGGGTCAGTGAGTGCCGGTACCGCAAAGAGCAATCTGACCCCGATTTGACATGAGGGTTAGTGAGAGTAAGAGATCCAGCACAGTGGTTATGGCACTCATGCCACCATAACCATTATATCACTTCGTAGTGGTTATGATGCTTGAAGTGTTCCTTTTAATAATCACCTAATTAGGCCCTTCAGAACTTTCAACTCCAGGCCCATGAGGCTCTTAACCCCGTCCTGTGTAAAATAGTAGTTATTAACTCCGTTATGAGTGTACTATTTTTGTACTTTTCTTCGGTGAAATACTCTGTTTGCATTCATGTTCAGAGATTTATTTTTTTCTTAATACAGTACAACAAGCCATTTGAAGAAGACATTCTTTTAACTTTAGAAGATCTGTCTTGTGTTAATGAAAACGGTAAGAATACTTTGGTGGTACATATAGGTTCAGTGACATATCTGGGCATGCCTGGGATTTACACAATGCTGTTTTATACAGATAATTGATGATAATGCCTCTGAAGATAGGAAACACACCAGATGAGCCATTTGGCTTTAATGTTATATAAATGTCTATTTGTGCTGCACATATGGGAAATGTTTAACCAGATTATTATTGTGAAAAAATATGTAACTTTATAGAACTGGGTAGCTTGAAAGGCATACTCCAGACTTTAGTTGAACTCTCATGTAGAGTATGTGGTTTGTGTGCAGGACTGTCAAGAATGCTTGCTGAATGCAACCAGCTGAACTCCCACACGAATTGCCCTGAGCAGTACCAATGGAGACAGATCTCACATTTCCCATTAAATAACAGAGACAGAAGAAAGACAGGCAAAATGGTGGGGCTGAGAAAGTGACATAACTGATACATTGAAGAGTGAAAGTGCGATGGAGGGGCACGGTAGTTAGGTCTGAGATAATATGGGCAGAAAGAAGACAAGCTCACAGGTTATCTCTGTATAAAAATAAGAGCTATGTTATAGCAATTGATAGTACCTGTCTTTATTTTTTATTTTTTTTTTTGTTATTTTATTAAGGAGCTACACAACATGTTGATGACATGGTCTTCTTTACATTGATATACAAATCATCTGTACATTATGCTGACAAAACAGCTTGTAGAAGAGGTCTGCTTCCTCCAAAATGGCATCTGAAATAAATGTGGGAAATGCACTTAACTAAAATGTTATGTTATGGCCCTCCTTTAAAGCCTAGGGAATAGTGTGTGGGCTGGAATATATGTGCATGAATTGAAAACTGTATTTATTGATTTCTGATGTAGGGACATGGAATGTCAATTCTAAATATGGAAAAAAGAATACAATTCCCCAAAGAGATGTACAGAATAAGGTCTGTTATCCTCATTTATTTATTTTTAAATAAACCTATTTTCTTTTTTTTTCTCTCTCACAAATGAATATTATTTTATGCTTTTAAGGCCTCAGTAATTCTACTTCTACACATTTCATTCAGTATATTTTGTATAGGAACTTTGGGAGGAAATTGTTCTCTATACACATAAGAGAGACACTGACTGTAAAGCCTCCGTGTCTTTCTGTTGGTTGCTTCTGTTTCAGAAGTTCCAATTTATTTTGCACTATACACTTTAGATAGATGGATACACAAAAGCTCATTTAAGTAGCTTAACGATGATGTACCATCTGCATTTAAGTTCTTATGTGTAATTCATATTTAATGGTTTAAAGGGTTACTCCAGCCTCCATGACCACCTCTGCTTCCAGAAATTTTTTTTTTTGTGCCAGGGGCTAGTTACCCCTGGCATACATGATATAGGCCTGTGGAGTCTAATTCAGTGAAAAAATTGTGTGTTGCCAGCACACAGTGTGCTGGTGACAAACATAGTCCACTTCTAAATGGAAGCCTAGATTTCCTCTCCCTCCCTTGATGCGCTCCTTCCCCACTTCCCTTCAGTTATTTATTTATTTGGATTGAAGCATTTGACAAGACCAAGGTCTGGAAAGGAATGATGCAGTGTGACCTAGGATGTTTTTTGAGAACCTCGTCCAGCGCTGTATTTTATCATTTATAGTACAGTTTGTTTGTTTTTTACTTGAAAAAGGGGAGTGGACACTCTTAGTGCCCAATATGGAAGTTATAAAATAAATATTTACATCTTAAAAGAACATTTTGTCCTATGTTTTAAAAAGAAGTCGATCATAAATGAAAAAAATAACAGATTTTGAAAGAGGAATAGAAGAGGAAACAGTAGGTGAAAGATACGTTTGAGGTGGCAGTGCCACTTTTAAGAGACTGTAGTTAAAAATAAACAGTGTAGAGCTATTAGGACAACCTTTTTAACAAGTTTAATGATGATATAATGATATGATACTGCTACGTGTTGTGAGAATAAAGGATTATAGATGTGGATTGTTGTTCTGCTGTAAGTGTAGGGATATGTGTGTGTAGAGCAGACATACACAACTTGCGGGCTGCCAAAGGATTTCAGGTGGACTGTGAGGAACTACCACTGGTGCAGCCACTGTGCTGCACCAAGGCCCGCTCAATTAGGTGGTCCATCAAGTGGCACATGCACTTAGGCCCACCTGGATGGCATGTCGGCAGCCAGCTGGGAGGAAGTGCCACGAGTCACTTCCTTACAGAGCCGCGTGAGAGGAGGGGGCCAGGCCGGGAGAGCCAGGAGCTGGCTAAGGGGAGCTCAGAGGAGAAGGCAGTAAAGGATGGGGTGCAGCCTGCAAGAGCCAGCCCCTAACTCCTGACATCCTGAGCCTGCAGATTGGACACAAAGGAAGCCACCCTCCAGCACCCAAAAGGTAGGATCCTGGAAGGTGGCTATAGAAGTGTATATTTTGGCCTGCATGAGTGTGTGTGTGTGTGTGTCTGTCTGTATATCTGTATGTCTGTCAGTGTGCGTGTGATGGGCACTAAAAACCTATTTGTGGCCCGAAGAAGCTAAGCTTCTATTTAAATCTGGCCCCTACCTATTACCAAGGTGTGCAGGTCTGGTGTAGAGCACCTCTGCAGGGTCAGATTAACACATGGAGCTAATTGAACTGAAGCTCCAGTCCAATGCCCATTGAATAGGTTCAATGATAATTAAAATAAATAAATTGCACATACCTTCAAAAAGCAACTCGTTTCTTCCCATGTCTCTAGCCTAACACTGTTTAATGTAATTTTATCATACTCGATACCCTTTCCCTTCATATGTTACTTTTCTATATTTAAAATTTCTTATATTCCCCACTTTGCTTACTGTGTAAGACTTATCCATCCCTGACTACCACAGTTAAAAGGAAACTATATAGTGACCAAAAGTCGTCTAAGAAAATCCATCTAGTGGCTGTCTAGTAGAAAGCCAACAGAGAAGGAGTTAACCCTAGCAGGTAATTATTGCAGTTTATAAAATCTGCAATAGTTGCATGTTAAGGGTGATGGGAGTTGGCACTCAGACCACTTCAGTGGACTGAAGTGGTCTGGGTGCCTACAGTCTCTCTTTAATGTAATCTTGCCCAAGCAAATGGTTTAACAGTTTACTTTTATCTGTAGTCTAAGGCAAAGCAACTTCTGTTTTCTTATGGTGCACTATAGGCATTGTTCAGTCATCTGCATGTGTTCAGCCTTTGCAAACTCTAACTTTATGTAGTGTTAAGGTACAAATTCTTTGTTTTGTGTTCATGTGTCCCAGGCACAGAAGCTTAAAGAGAATAACAACCTGAGTATTGTGGGAACAGTTGTCCATGGTAAGAAAGAGTTTTATATATCTGTATTTGGCAGTACGGTTAGTTTTGCAGAGTATCGTGTTGATGCTTGAAGATATGTTCTATTTAAGTTATATTATAATCCAAAGGCATTAGTTATGTAATATGCCCTCCAAGTCTATGTACACATAATGAAACCCCTTTCATTTAAGCTCTTCTCCAAATATGAGTGATTAACCCATTGCGTTGGAGCGAATTAACCCATTGCAGAGAGCGAAGCAGGCTGCTCTTACAAGAGCAATCGTTGTGATACAAAGGAGTATAGTGATTATAGCAATCCCCAGAGTGAATATAACTCTCCAATTCCCCAAACACGAGCCAAAACTTCATGAAGGGGTAAACTGTTCTGTTTAATGGCAGCCACAACTGGCCTTTTTATGACAGTCCCCATGCAAGGGGCATTCCTCCCTGGACCCGAGAGTAGACTACAGTAAAAACATACACACAGTTGCATTGGCTCTTAGGTCTAGGACACTCCCATACAAAGCAATCCTTCCCCTATGCCTGGGAGATAATTGAGTCAGAAACTGATCTAACTCCACCTCATGTATTCCTGGATTGTTAATATATTCTCATGTGTTACCATTATACATGTAGTTTGCCACTGTAATTTTCTGTGCAATATTTCATTTAGACAGTTATTAATATTTTGGGTGATAGAATTTGGTTGCTAAATTTTTCAGTAGTATATAACACATGGCTACTCTACCTCTCACTCTCCTTTTCTCCTCCCCAGTTGTAAATACCTTCATTTGACTGCTCTATCTCATTCTCTGTTCTTCAGGCCTCACTCCACACTCAACTCAGTGAAAGACTGCATTTTTTTTTCTCCCCACTTCCCAGCCTCCCGCCCACCCAGGCACCCCCTAAATATATAGCATGCCTCTCCAGCTGTTTGAGATTTTCACTCAATTACCTCTTCATTCCCTTTGTATTTTACCAATAGCTGCTTCTCTATTAACTCTTTCAGCCATCACCTCCAAACTCCCCCTGCTACCTCTTGTCTCAAATCCCCATGTATCCTTTAGATTGTAAGCTCACAGGCCATCTAGCCAAGCACTTTGTATAAAAGAGCTCCAATGGCTAGATATCAGCTTACGGGCAGGGTTGTCTCTACCTCTTGTATTTGTCTGTGTATATTGTATGTTTCTCCACTAATTGTACAGCGTTGCGGAATCTGTTGGTGCTTTATAAATAGCAGTATAATAATAAATATAAATAAATCTCCAGGCACAAAAAAACACAACTTTTAACAACACCCCAAAAGTACCCCCACACCCATGGAAACCCCACAAAAGTTACATCCCCTGATCTGGGTGACCAACATATCCAAAAATCACCCAGATCGGTTCAAGGGTTCAGGATTTCCATGGAAGTCATAATTTTGAACGACCGTGCACATGGTCCTATGCCCAAAACAGTTCCAGGGATTCAGGGCTAACGGTCGGTCTCTCTGTATGGAGTACAAAAGTACATAACTCACATGAACAGAGCCTTTTAAAGTGCATTGGGCAAGGTATATTGCAGGGCCCATAGTCCTGAGGCAAGAGGCTGGCCAGCAGGCCCCCCCCCAAGAACCCGTGACGAGGTTCAGTTCGTCACACATGTGTACTATACTTGTCTTCTACTTGCAGTCAACACATTTCCCACCAGAATGAAAGACTGACCATATTAACCCTTTGGGATTTAAGAAAACCAAACCTGCACAGTAGACATTAATTACCCTATTTCTCATGACACACTGTGCAGTAAACTTCATTATCAGAAACCTAGTGTATAGATAATTTTAATCCGTGTGAAAATGTAAAGGGTATTCGCTTGGTGACATTTTCGTCATTTTTAATTTTGCCATGGTGAGCTGTTCAACACTTAATCCGGCATTAGACTCTTACAAATGTTAAATGGTTTCATTTGCACTATGGAAGTCAAAGCTGCTACAGTAAGTAATTTATTGTGGTACCCATTAAAGGGACACTATAGTCACCAGAACAACTACAGCTTAATGCATTTATTTTGGTGAGTATAATCATTCCCTGCAGACTTTTTTTGCTGTAAAGACTGCAAAGAAAGTGCAGTGTTTACATTACAGCCTAGTAATAACTCCACTGGCCACTACTCCGATGGCTGCTAGATGTGCTTCCTGGGGCAGTGCTGCACAGTGAGCAGCACTGCCATTCAGTGTCCCCACCCTCTGCATGCAGACACTGAACATTCCTCATAGAGATGCATTGATTCAATTCCTCTCTATGAGAAGATGTTGGTTGGCCAGGGCTGTGTCTGGCTTCTGCTGGCTCTGACCCTGATCTGCCTTCTTGACAGTCTCAGCTAATCCTATGGGGAAGCTTTGTGATTGGTTCAGACCACCACTTCTGATGTCAGCAGACAGCAGAAAGGTCAGAGGCAGACCAGAGCAGCAGCTGCAGACCTGAATGCAAGTAAGATTTTACTATATTTAGGGAGGCAGGGGGGGCTGGATGGTGGGTTTAACACTATAGGGTTAGGAATACATGTTTGTGTTCCTTACCCTATAGTGCTCCTTTAATGACTCGCTCAAATAGCTTGATATTGAACCACTGTTTAAATGCATAGTATTCTCAATGAGAAGCCTCTGGTTATTTTCCTGTGAAGAGACTGCAAGTCTCTTTCGGGGAAAAAAAGGGGAGGGCTTGCTAAGGCTGTAGTTCATAAGAACTGCAGCCTTTGCAAGCTTTTAGGATATTCCCCCAATGAAAATTAATGCATGTATTCATTGAGGGGTATATCTACTAAACTGTTTTTTCATTTTGTAAGTGTAGTGATCCTTTTAAGATTTTCTGCAAAAAGAACATGACCTGGTAGTTAGCTGTTTTTTGTTTTTGTTTCTGGTTTCCTAGGCGATAGTGAATGCTATATGGATACTACTGTTGACATCCCATTGAAATATTCTAAGGTAACCACTGATTTGATACAAATAATATATTAGAATATGATGAATGATGATTTCATAGTAAACTACAAATTCAAGTTGTTTGTGTACTATAATTAACATTTAAAGTGAACAAAACATTGAAAATCACCTTTTCCTTGCAATGTTTTGCATTCTATTATGTGTCCAGGCATGTTATGCTCTGTTTTGGGCTGCTTAATTTTAAATATGTGCAAAAATGATGTCTGTTGGGGAAAGATACAATGGGCTTCTACCCTTGCTCCCTCTCTTTTAGGTCCTTTCAACAGTCCCTGCCTCTTTACATTTCTTAATTTGTGTCTGCACATAGGTTTACATCTTATATTACAGGTTTATAATGAAGAGGGGGCATATCACTAATTCTAAATTTTAAAAAAAAAGCATTTGAAAGGGTGGAGTAACCCTTTAAACCACAAATAACAATTTAGTTATATGAAGTGGTAATTGTGTCTACAGTGTCCTTCTTTTTTTTTTTTTTTTTTAATAAAGATCCTGGAAAGTGATGGTTCTTTTTCAAAACAAATTTCACAAAACACCTTATACTCTCCTCCCAGTCGTATCAATCTCTAATACACTAAAGTTAGAAGGGCTGCTACCGTAAAAAAATTTTTGTGGGTAACTGCTCCATCTCACTGAAGTGGTCATAGTGTCTGCTGTCACATGGTGCTGTCCTTCCATTCAGCATTACATTGTTTGTTTGTAATGTTTTAGTCCCCAGCAACCAATCCCCCATGTGCTGTTTAAGCTAGTGAGTAAGCATTATCAGTGTGGCAAAGAGTGTCGGCTGACCCCGTTGAGCTTAACACAAGGCCATTGCAGGTATGAGTTGGTAGGGCTACATGAAAGTATGTAATAACTTCCTTAGCCATACCTCTAGTGAGGCGGGGCTCTGGGAATCCAGGTACCCTTTTTCAATGTTTAAACATGGTTTAACACCGAAAGAAGGGATATTGCCTGGGAACCCCAGATATTATAACCAATCCAATGAGATGAACTAGTTAACTAGAAAATATAATGAGATGAACTAGTGAACTAGAAAAATATAAAGGCAATATTTTCATTTCAGATCTGTTCAGTTATTCCCTATGCTTTATCTTTGTGCAACATTCCATTCCTTCATTTTCTAGATAGGTTTTGCCGGATTAAAAACCTATCACCCACTGACATATTTACATATTGAAGGTTTTCCTAAATAAACTGAGACCTAGTCAAGGTATGTAGTAGACATAGTAGTATGTATATGAAGTCAAAGCTTCAGTGGACAATGCATATGGCTTATACAAAAAAAAAAAAAAAAAGGTTACAGCACGTATGATCATTAACAGGCTTATTTGGAATAACACAAAAAATCTACATATATTTTCTCCAAAACAAAGAAAAGTCAACAAATAACTTGATATTGGATTATAAATTGTTATATCAGTTGTTGGTTCATGTGCATTCATATATTTTTTTTTCTTTGATAATTTACAGAATACATTAGAATACAATCATGATCCAACTTACACAAATGACATAAAAAAAGTTAATCTTTGTTTCCTCAGAATGTGTTCAGAATGTGGTAAACTTGGTGCTATTCAATAATGAAATACAACTATGCACACAAGCCATAAACACTTGATAGCAACATTTGATGTAGTGCCAAACTTCCTTTGTTAAACCCCTTATTATTGGAATGTTTATTTTTTCTTTGCTTATAATTGTCTTGTGCTGACTGGGAGCTATGTGCTTATTGTTCATTTAAATGCAGTCTATTTACTTTTAGGTGCTAAATGCCAACTGCAATGAAACTTATATCCTATCTGGTAAGTATATGACTCAATATTGAGTTTCAAGAAATTAAACAAATTTACATAAAAATAAAAATGTATCTGCTATTAATTTGTACTTTTTGTCATTCCATTAACTCTAGATGACGAGAATGATAAGTCTATTGAACTTCATTCTGAAGAAGAAACTAATGGTCCGTTGGATGTAAAAAAGGTAAATATGATTTAAATAATAGTATGCACTGGATTGAAGCAACAAACAGAAAGTGATCACAAACAATAGGCAGAGGCCTGTGTTACCATGGTTCTATAAAGAAAAAAATGTTTTCACTAATATTGGTTCTGCTACCCATCTCACTATGGCTCCAACAGTGAATATGACAATGGATGCAAAAAAACAAGTGCCATCCTACCACTCAATTTGAACAAAATTACACATGTAAATTACACATAAAGCGCACCAAGTGCAATACATAAGAGGTATAATGTGGTTTTATCACTGTGTAAAAATTGATTTCTTTTGTGCACTTTGCACACTTTATCAGTGTACATATCCAGTATTTAGCCAGTGGGCAGGTTGTAAAATATAAATTCAAAGAAAAGGCTCTGCCAGCCTCTTGCATTTTAGGATGGAACAAGAAATGTGGTCCTTCTCAACTCACTATGGGCAGCAGGATGAGGGTTAATAGCACAGGTGGCTAGCACTCTTATTTACCCTTACACCACCTGTGTATTTATTTACTGTTTATCTATATGCTCTTTGTGCTGTGCACTGTTTGATAGCTGACAATAATTGCAAAATATTACTTTTTTTCTAATTAATTTTGGTTTATAGTAGCTTCTATTTGATTAAATTCAGCACTGATCCCCTGCAAATTTGTAAACAGATTTTAGCATTTGGTTCTGAATTACAGTTTTTGGAAACATTTAGGGAGGCTAAAATGCAAGGTCTATCAGCTCTAATTTTGCTAATATCAGAAACTGATACATTTTGTGACTAAATCCAAGGTTTGTGGCTTCCAATCACGCTGGATTGCCTTCATCACTTTTTTTTCCTGGTTTTGGTTAGGCTACATACATACTTTAATGAATAATCCTATTAGTATATTATAGGTACATGTATTTATATGTCAGAATTTAATTTGGTTTGCATCTAAATACTAATATATTTCATGTTTTCCCTATTTTCCGATATCATCTGGAGAAAAATGTGTGAAAATACGTTTTGACGACTGTTTAAATTTTTTAATTTTATTTTTTAGTTTATTTAAAACACATCCTGCTACTATATCCTTCTCAATCCACATATCTTTTTTTTTTTTTTTTTTTCTCCATAGAGTCTTATACCATTAGTGCATCTTTCAGACACAAGATGCGGCAAAATGTATGTTGCAGATACTGATATGCTTCTTGATTTGGATGAAAGTGTGTCATCTTCAAAGATTATTGTAAGTATGGCGGCTTCTCTGTCAACATTCCAAAGATTGGTCTATTAAGGATTAAGCAGGATTTTTAGATTTATTTTAGTTTTTACAATTTATTGTATTTTTCTAAAATACAGTTGTGTTTAAAAGATTGTATACCCTTGGAGAATTGGTAATATATGTACCATTTTTAAAGAAAACATTAGTGAGCAGACAAAACACATTTCTTTTATTTCTTATGGGATTCAAATTCAACTGTAGATTATAACCGAATAGCACAATCCTAAAACAAAACATGGCAACAAAGAAATGATTAAATTGTGATTTAAAAAGAGTCAAACAACTATGTGATAAATGGCTTCATATGATCACTATCCTTCAGTAAAAGAAATTTTTTTTTAAAACTGATCTGTCATATATTTTCAAAATCAATGCTAAAAAGGGTATGTAAACTTTTGAGCACATTTGTATATTAAGGCTTTTGATTTATAGGTTTATTTACCACCAAGTATTAAAGGGACACTATAGTTACCTGAACAACTTTAGCTTAATGAAGCAGTTTTGGTGTATAGAACATGCCCGTGCAGCCTCACTGCTCAATCCCCTGCCATTTAGGAGTTAAATCCCTTTGTTTATGAACCCTAGTCACACCTCCCTGTATGTGACTTGCACAGCCTTCCATAAACACTTCCTGTAAAGAGAGCCCTAATGCTTTATTTCTTTATTAAGTTCTGTTTAATTAAGATTTTCTTATCCCCTGCTATGTTAATAGCTTGCTAGACCCTGCAAGAGCCTCCTGTATGTGATTAAAGTTCAATTTAGAGATTGAGATACAATTATTTAAGGTAAATTACATCTGTTTGAAAGTGAAATCAGTTTTTTTTTTTTTTATGCAGGCTCTGTCAATCATAGCCAGGGGAGGTGTGGCTAGGGCTGCATAAACAGAAACAAAGTGATTAAACTCCTAAATGACAGTGAAATTGCAGGGGAATGATCTATACACTAAAACTGCTTTATTTATCTAAAGTAATTTAGGTGACTATAGTGTTCCTTTAATTGTAAAGTAAATCTTTCACCAAAAAGGTGAAAATGGATCATCTTGAAGAGACTAATAACTGTAGTATAACTTTATGCAGGGACAATTTATTTATTTTGCATGTATGTTGCTAAACCACTGTAACAATATTGTATTCTAGATTAAACGCAAAGAAGGCAGAAGTTTTTCAGTGAAATATTCTCCAATGAAGATTAGAAGAGATACAAATGTCGAAGGTAGTAAAATAAAATTTTTCAATTTTTTTTTTTTTTAGATTATATACTTATTGTATTAATTTTACAATTCACTTGTCAGCGGTTGCTCATGGAATTATGACCTCTGGTGGGCGGTGGGTTGTTTGATTGTTTATTTTTTCTTATGTGTTTAATTGAAGGAATTTTTCGCTCTCATCCTGTACTATGTATTATTGGATGTCTAAATATTACATTTATTATTTTTTTTATTTTTTTTTTAAATCTTCAATTTAGTAATTGAATTTTTTAATTCTGTTTACATTTTAGGCAGTAGAAGAGAGATTTGTCAGAAATATATGGGAAACGACTACTGCAGGAGCCTTGATAAGTCTACTTTAGAAGAGTCCTTTTTCATGCAAGTGAAAAGGTTTATTGGCCGGCACAATAATGCCAGTATTTTAAATGGTACGCTTTCATTTCAGGAGAAGAATGGATGTGAAACAATAGATGAATTTGCAGATGATGATGCACTGAACTCCTCTGACTTGGGCAATGTAAGTCTTGCTGACTATTACCCAAATATGATTGAGTGTCTCAGCAGACTAATGGACTTCCCAAGGAAAGAAATGGCTGCTGCAAATATAATTCGATATTATAGACATCATTTTTGGTTTGCTAATAAACACAAACTGGATATCACAAAGGCAAAAAGAACAATGTTTAGAGCCAGGAATCTAAAGCTGATGATTGGATCAAATCCTAAAGATACTCCATACACTAGTTACGCCAAAACTAGTAGTATAGGCCCCATGATCATGGATGACTTCAGTAAATATGGCGTCATTGAATACAGGAAACCGAATGTTTCCACTAGATATCTAGATGGAACAAAAATTCTTGACCTTTCAAAATCACATATGAAGAGTCCGGTTGTGTCAGAAACATTTATTTTTAATAATGATAACCCTTCCAAATTTGGTGAAAATAGATATGCTGTCCCTGAAAATGTGAAGCAAAGAAATGAATTGTGTACAGGTTTATCACATCCATCCTCTTTATTGGTAAAGAACGGCATGGTAGAAAAGTCTCCTTCAAAATTGATCTCTGAAGCCTGGGTGAAAATGAATCCTCAAATGAAAGTGGCTGCAAAGTCAAGTGTTCTGTTTTCTCCAGACAAATTCAGACTTCTTAAGCAGCCCCATCAAGTTCAATGTACTCTTAAAAGAAGGCACTCCTTTTCCACTCTTCCTAGTCAGCAGGTATCAGTTGGAATGCCTCTAAATGAGTCAAGTGCTTTTGAAACTTTGTACAAGAAGCTGGTTATGCAAGATTCCTACCACATGTTTTTACCCACACATGCTAGACACCACCTATCAGAGACTGTAAATGCACTCATTAATTCACCTGGGTCAATTAGAGGTAAACGATTAGCAAGTGAAGATTTCTCTGTATCAAACTTTAAGAGGTCTCGCATGTCTGGATCTTTTGAACCCATTATTACAAACTCACAATACCACTTTAGTCGGAATTGGAATAGCAAGCCCAGCTTTTCTCCCCAGATGAAGAATGGATCAGACCTAGGGCAGTGTCAAGACTCCACAAGGCTAGATAAGAATCTGGTAAGTAAAACTGTGCTTTTAGTGAATATTGCTTCCTATCATTGCATTGGGAAAAGCTTAGATCCTTCACTGCCATCACCAATTAGATTTTTTTTTTTTTCAGTTTCATATCTAGTTTTACATTTTGACTTAAATCACATGCTTGACATTTAACTATTCAACTACTCGTGTACTTTTTTAAATTCTGGCAAATACCAGAACATATACATATATATATATATATCTCTTTATGTTGTGGTATTTGTCAGAATGTTAAAAAGCTACTCTGTCGTCCATAAACTGATCGCTGTACAAAGTTTTTACTATCCAATTGGGTAGTTACTTTATTTACAACACTAGCTGTTGTTGGCACTAGCTAGCCATTCATTCATGTGCATGTTCATTTAGCTACCCTTGCTTACAAATACACATAGGTATACAGTCACAAAAACATGCACAGTAATCCACCCATAAATACATGGATATGCATGCAAAATGTAAACAGCCATTCACATACTCACAGACAGGCATTCAGACACCTGAAATTACGATCAAAGGTAACTTAAAGGGGGATTCTTAGCACCATAACCAGTACAGCACTCTAGTATTTATGGGGCATACTACACAGATTTGCAAGCAGTTTGACACTTATCTGGGTCTCCCAGGTGCCTGCAGCCTGACAAACTTCTTTATATATGACTAGTGTGTATGTTCCCCATCTGCATTAGATATACCAATTTTGGCCCTATTTGGATGGAAAGGCCTGGATGAGCCAAGCATGTGTCAAATAGTTTTACTGTTTACCCTGGAATGACTCTAAGAGATTCTTTGCACCACACTCACAACACATTGTGGCAGGTATGGTGCTTAAATTGTCCCTTTAAGCACCTTATTCACTGCAGCTCATTGTAATAGTTGTGCCCCCTTTTGCTGTGTCAAACCATTCTTTATTAGTTTGAAAAGAACAAGGCCACTATTTGCCCTTAAAAGGCACTTAAATGATGTATACGTGAGCAGCTTCTTTATTGGTCCAATTTTAGATGGCATTGATAGGCTTTGAGTGTCAATGAATTATAGTGTTTAGCGACTGGTAACTTTTTAATTCTGTATATCCTCTCCCTGCAGCTCGCCGGTGTTGAAGGATGATACGAGAAAGGAGATAGGGAGTTGTTGCATTCTGTTCCTGGTAGTAGAAGGGAACTAGCTGTGTATGCATGTTGTTTCATGTAACTAAGATGGTCTCAGGGCTTCCATGTATTTCTGCATGGTGTTTTGTATTCCACTACTCTGTTGTTGAGTTTGGGGATGAACAGTGGAGACCTTTTCATCTCCACTGAGCATAAACAAATTCTTCACTCCATACTTTATTTTGCCGCCATAGATAAACCGTGCACGCCTAAATTGAAATATGAGCTAAAGGCACACTATAGGCACCAGAACAACTTTAGCCTAATGAAACATATTGGTAAATCTATATCAAATGTAAAGTTGACTAGGCCAACTTGTATGAGCTGTCAGCCATAAAGATCTATAACAAGCACAAGAAAATGTTAATACAGGTTTATGTATTTGTGCAAACATAAGATTTGCATACTCAATTCACCCATGTGTATCCCCGTAGGAGTATTCATGAGGTTTCATGTATAAAGGCAATAAAAGCAAAAATATACTAAAATCATATTTAAACGCATATACAATATGCATTAAAGTCATTTTTAGAAAATCTAGTTTTAGATTCTTCTAGTCTGTCTTATAAAAGTGCTAGATATTCTCACATTATCGGTAGTGGAAAGAAGAATTTCCTGAAGACCTAGTCTGATTGTGATGATTTGTATAATTCTTTAATATTAAGCCTGTACTTTATTTATTGTCAACTTTTTCCTGTGTATGATTTTGGTTTGCAGGGTGTTCGTTCTTTTTCGCCAAGGATTATGCAGTCTCGAAGTTCACCTTTATCTGGTTAGTAATTCTGCTATTCTGAAAATATATTAAACATTTACATGGAAAATGAGTGGACCACATGTTGTAAAGGGACACTCCATGCAACCTGACCTATTCTCCTTGACTAAGGATTCACTGTCATTTTTGCAAATCAAGCCCCAAGTATCTTTACAAATTGTAATACATATGGGAATCTGTCCAAATATATTAAAAGAACACTATACTTTTGGGAATACAAACCTTTATTACTTTCTCTACAGTGTCCCTATATCTAACAATCTAGGCAAGATATATATCAGAGTATATTAATGAGGATCCTGTAGCAAGAGATATGCAAAAGACGCGCAGATAACTTTTAATTGGATGACTCAAGACAAGGTGCTACAGCAGTTAAAATTAATGTAAATAAAGCTCAGGGGCCTGACTGTATTTACCCACGAGTACTTAAAGAGCTAAGTGGGGAAATAAGTGAACCTCTGTATTTAATCTGTCAAGATTCTTTTGTTTCAGGAATTGTACCGGCGGATTGGAGGAAGGCTGATGTCGTTCCTATATTTTAAAAGGGTTAAAAATCCTTGCCTTAACTGTGAGCTTAATTTCTGTGACTGGGAAAATATTTGAAGGGCTATTAAAGAATTCTTTTGGATATATGAGGAAGGCTGAACTCTATGGACGCAAGTCTCTTTTTAGCTATGTAACTATGGAAATGGAAAAAGTGTAACTAGTTAGTTACATAGTCTGAACTTGATGGACACATCTCTCTTTCCAGCCTTCCTCACATTTGTTTTTGCTGTTGATCCAAAAGAAGGCAAAAAAAACAGTTTAAAGCACTTCCAATTTTGAAACAAACTAGGAAAAAAAATTCCTTCTTTACCCCAGAATGGCAGTCAGATTTTATCATTCGATCAAGAAGCTATTACCCTACATTGAAGAATTATATCTTTGAATATTGTTTTTGCAAGTATGCATCTAGTTGCTGTTTAAACATCTGTATGTACTCTGATAAAACCACTTCTTCAGGCTGAGATTTTCATATCCTAATTGTTCTTACGGTAAAAAAAAACCTTTCCTTTGCCTTAGACTAAATCTTCTTTCTTCCAGTCTAAACGCAATACCTTGTGTCCTATGTAAAGTCCGGTTTGTGAATAGATTTCCTCACAATGGTTTGTATTGGCACTGGATCTTTTTGTATAATGTTATCATATCCTCTCTCCGAGGTGACATTTTTCCAAACTAAAGAGGTTTAAATTTGTTAACCTTTCTTCATAGCTAAAATGTTCCATTCCTTTTATTACTTTCTTAGCCTGCCTCTGCACTCCTTCTAGTGCCATAATATCCTTCTTTAGAACAGGTGCCCAAAATTGCACAGCATATTCAAGATGTGGTCTTGCCATCGATTTATAAAGAGGCAAAATGATATTCTCATCCTGAGAATGAATGCCCTTTTTCATGCATGACAATACCTTACTGGCATTAGCCACTGCTGATTGACATAGCACATTGTTGCATAGTTTGTTGTCTATAACAAATCCCAAGTCCTTCTCGTGTGTTGTCTTCCCTAATTCGCTTCCATTGAGGATATACGTTGCTTGTGCATTTTTTATGCTGAAGTGCATAACTTCAAATTTTTGTACAATAAATTTAATCTGCCATTTGAGTGCCAGGTCCCCCAGTCTATGTAAATCCCTCTGCAGCAAAGTAATAGCTTGCTCACATTGTATTATTTTACAGTGTTTTGTGTCATCTGCATACACTGAAAAATGACTTTCAATGTTTTTTTCAAGATCCTTTATAAACATTAAATAGATGGGGTCCCATGACAGAACCCTGAGGGACACTAATTGCCACCTCTGTCCAAATTGAAAATTTACCATTAATGACAACTCTTTGTGCTCTATTTTTAAGCCAATGTTCTACCCAAGAACAAGAATTTTCATCTAGACTGATTTCTTTGAGTTTGAACACTACTCTATTGTGTGGAACTTTATTTAATGCCTTGGCAATATCTAAATGGATCACGTCCACTGCAACACCCTGATCTATACTTCTACTTACTTCGTCGTAGAATGCAATTAAATTAGTTTAACATGACCTGTGCTTCATAAAACCATGCTGATATTTGCTGATAACCATGTTCTTCTCAAGGAATTCTTGAATATTATCCCTTATTTTCACGGGAACTAAAGGTGCATTTAAAACTAAAGGAACATTGAAATGAAGTGGCCTGGGTGACTTTAGTGATCTTTTAAGACATTTGTTGAAAATGTATTGTTGTATTTAATTTGTAAGTATCTTGAGAAGGAAGTTTTACAGGATAAGAAATACAATACTTTACATAAGTACTGTTAAACTGGGGATAGGGAAGGTGGGCAATTTTGTCTCTGGGTTCTAGGGAATGTTTGAGGAGGGGGACTTTGATGGGGGCCCATCTCTACCCTCCCCAAGTTCCTGACATCCTGATAAATATCATGCTGATGGTTGCCACCATGCAGAGGCATGTTACCACCACCAGGCAAGGGAGGTGCAAACCACCAATGGAACGCTCACTTAAATTTACTGTGTTATTAAAGCAAAAGCAAAAATAGAGATGGAATTTTAAAAGAATATAAGGTGCATGATATAAAATTGTTTAAAAACAATCCTAAAATTTGCAGGAATTCTACAGATCACATCTCATAGAGCATGGGTGGGGAACCTTTTTTCTGCCAAGGGCCATTTGAATATTCATAAATCTGAGACTGTTCTCCGTGACAAACGAACACTGAAACAATTTTACTTTGGCTGGTGCTAACAACTCCGCAGCAGCAACCTTGCACTCTTTCACAAACTTTCCCTCTACATGAGGCCTAAACTAGCTCACTCACTACATAACTTGTCTGAATAAAGTTGTCTCTGTCACAACGAGGTCTAGTGAAACAGGCTTGTTGTGATTCCAAACTCCGCTGAAGAGCATTGATTTTATCCAGGCGCAATTGGCCTCCCAAAATGCATGCCAACCGTATATGTTATTGTGTCATGGTAGATACAAAAACACACGCTCATTGGCGCACACATATGCTCATTACACAGTCTGCAATCCCCAAAACACAATCTGCAATCCCTCACCACCCCCCAAAAACACAATCTGCAATCCCTCAACCCCAAAAAAGCATAATGTAATCCTCCCCCCTCCCCACACCAAAAGCAAGTGGTGGGGCAAATTTAGAGTTAGGGGGTGCCCGAATTTAGTCGTGCCTAGGGCAGCACAAATACAGAATAAACCACTGTCTGTAATTCCACAATACTATAATTCCCCACACAACACAATCAACAATCCCCACAAGACAATCTGCAACCCCCCCCCGCCCCCCAGCACACTCAAAAACACAATCTGCAACCCACTCCCCAGTCTACAAAACTCTTACCCTGCCCCATTTTAAAAAGCATTTCAAATAGGAAAGTCAAGCACAGTAACTCACAATATTTGATTAGAGCAGAGCTCCTAAAGATGTTTGCTGCTGACAGGCCTCTCGTGCTTCTTAAGATTTCCGCTGCTGACCGGTAACTGCCTCACTCAGACCCACAACAGTCAGAGCAGATCCTTCTGCGCCGTCAGGACACACTGAAGGTGGAGTACGTTGGTATGTGCCGCTGCGTGCCTTCACTGTCCTCCTCCACATAATAAAATAGGGCAGCTGCCTGAATTAATTGCCTGCAGTGCCATGTCGGACCAAATGATTTCTCCCCTCCCCTGTCATAGTGGATACAAGTTTTTCTTTGACTTATGTAATCATTGACCATTGGAAACATTGCATAGACATTATACTAGTGCATTTACAAACTGAATAGTTTACTGTGTTGCGGAGGGCTCTCTATTGTGCAACAATTCAGTAGATCCACTATGAGATTAGGCTTTAGAGAGCCATGAAAGTTTGTTCGCCTGTTTTGTTTGGTGAGAGAGTGAATACTGAGTTTACTACATATCTAAGAGTAATATTTTAACCCTTTCCTCTGTCTTTGAATAAGCATTTTTTTTTCGTTTTTTTTTTTTTTTGCTTTAAGAACTGTACAGAGGAAGCCCAAAAAGTTTGAAGATGAGCAGTCCGTCTAAATCAGTGAATGGTATCCGCAAAAGGTAATGTGATCTCATCAGAATAAAACATTATTGGTTGAGCTTCTTATGAAAGATTATCATAATCCGTAGATTTAAAGGGACACTATAGGCACTAAAACGGCTTTAGCTTAATAAAACCATTTTGGCATAGAGCTCATGCCCCTGCAGTCTTACTGCTCAACTCGTTGCCATTTAGGAGTTAAATCACATTTGTTTATCCAAAGCCTGCATAAAAAATTGTTTTATTTTCAATCAAATGTTAACTTGCATTAGAAGTTTGTATCTCCTGCTCTGTAAATTGAATTTAAATCCTGCACTGGAGGCACCTGCAGGGTCTATAAGGCTATTATCAGAGCAGGAGATAACACATTCTAAACTAAACAGACTGTGTAATAAAGGAAGTTTAAACACTAGATCTTTCTTTACAGTAAGTGTTTAGGAAGCTGTGCAAATCACATGGAGGGAGGTGTGACTAGGCATATATAAGAAAAGTTATTTAACTCCCAAAACCACTTAAGTAAGCTAAAGATGTTTTGTTGACTATAGTGTCCCTTTAACCCCTTCCTGACCTTGGACATGCAGGGTACAACCGACAAAAAAAAAAAGGCAGTTAATGACCGCGGATGTACCATGCATGTCCGCGGCTAATATGACCCGGCTATTCACCTGGACCCGAGATCCCAGCAGTCCCCCTGCAGCAGCTCCGGCCCTCCAGGGCCATGTGATCACCATGATCACATAGCCACAATGGAAGTCTATGGAGCTGCCAGCAAGGGGGACTGTCTGAGCAATTAGGCAGTCCCCCAGCCACCTAAAATGTTTAAAAAAAAAATAAATAAAATAGTTCAATAATTTTATAATATATTTTACATATATATGATTGCATTCTAAGTGTACTTTGAGACATATACACATATATCTCAAAATACAGTTATAATGTAATACATATATAGAAAATAAAACCAAACGTATTATATGTATGTGTGTGAGAAACAAGGGGGCTGGCTGCACTCACCTGAACATGCATAAATAGGGTGCTGCTGGGAGCCAATTTAATTTCATTAGAACGCTAACTTTGGCCAGTGTTTGTGACTAAGTTTCTACTAGAAAAAACTGGTCATACCCTATTTGCAATACCTTGGGTTGTCTACTTTTGCAAATTTCAATGAATAGGGCAAGCCTTATATTTGACCCTGTAACTTTCTATATATGTTGGATAGTTTTGTTAGTTTTGTTTTTTTAATGATTTCTATCCAACTGTTATTTTTCACCTTGGGCATGGAAAACTCAACTCTTAACATATTCTGGACAGCAATAATTGGCAGAGTGCAGGTTAGCCCGGCTCTCTCAGCATCTCCATAACAAAATTACCATTGATAATGCAGAAGAGTACATTCCACATTTTCCATGTTGCTTGAGGAATAAGGGCAGTCTCGGTCTTCCTGAGAGAAACATTTGAGGGAATGGTACCCAGAGATTACCCCATGCTGTAGCAGTTATGTTTAATAGAATCTCTATATCAGTTTAGAGTTTCTTTAAGTTAACACTAGGATCTGTAAATGAATCCATTTCTATCTTTATTATATATTGCTAAATAATAATATACAGGCATTTTCTATCAGATGTTAACTTGCATTGTGTGTGTGTGTATGTATGGGAAGTGGGAGAATTCTAATACGTTATCTCTTATTTTAGTGTCCACAGAAAGCTGAATTACACATATGACTGCGGCTCTACTGCTGGGGATGACACTGTGTTTTTCTAGTTTAGCGTATTGCTGAAATTTTCTTTTATTTGAAGTAGGACGTGACTTATTATATATTTTTATTTTTTTTACAGACCATACTTCACTTATTGCCACCTGTGTATTATTTTTATTATAAAAGTTTTTCTTTTGAAGATTCTAGATTTTAAATTTTAACATTCGTTAATATGCATTGGTATGTACTACAATATCAGAATAATTACTCATTTGATTGTGTTAAACCAAGAGCTTAACAAGAGAATGTCAAAAAAAAAAATCATTGGAGGCAACTTGAGCTTAAAACACGCTAATGAATGTGTGTATGTATATGTGTGTGTGTATGTATGTGTATATATGTATGTGTGTGTGTATATATATATATATATATATATATATATATATATATATATATATATATATATATATATATATATATATATATATATATATATATATATTTATTTTCAAAAGATAGGTTTGGCACACTACCTATATACAATATATACAAAAATACGTACCAGGGTGCAAACCAGCGATTTGTATATAGAAAAAATAGTAAGGTGCACTCTTGGATTTGAAAAATTACTTGGTTTATTGTGCAGAAAAATGGATCCACTGAACTTTGATTTTTCTGCACAATAAAACAAGTAATTTTTCAAATCCAGGAGTGCACCTTACTATTTTTTTCTACATATTATTTACATAATATACCTCTAATTTGCTAAATAATTTGGAGATGGTTAATTGTAGTCCACGCTTTTAAGTTTATTCATTCAACTGGGAAATGGGAAGAATTTAACATGGGTTTTATTGCTATTTTGACATAAATTAAAAATTTTCAGTTTTCTTGTAAATTCTCAGCACTATAGAGTTAATCCATTTGCTTCTGTTCTGTAAACATGTTTTATACTTTGACTGTAAAAAAAATTATATAAACTTTACAATCAGTTGTACAGAGAACTTGTGCCCAGTCATAGCCAGTTCCCGAATCAACACTGATTTTCGATATACAGTATCTGTCTATATAAACAATGTTGTCGGTTTATTGTTTCTTTAAATCACCTATTTAATTCTCAGAAGTTGCATGTTTTATAAATTAATCTGTAATCTTGGACTAGTTTATCATTTGGTTTCTTGTATTAATTTTAGTATGATTCTACTGTAAAGATGTGTTACGCATTAATTTTACAGTGCCGCACAAATATAAAGAGAACAATGAGAAACATGTAAACAGTCTGTTTGGTAGACCAGTTTCTTACACTGGATGTGAAAGTCGCCTGTTTTCACACAAAGTCATTATAGGAGATCTTGTTAGGAATTCAATGTGAATTTTTAAATTCATTTTGAATTCCCTACAATTTACAGTTTACTAAGTATCATTTCTAGTTCAAGTACCTTTTGTTGATTTGATAACTCGCCAAGATGACCTACCTGTCTGCTTAATAGCACTGTAGAAAATAAATTTTGCTTGTATAAAAGTGGAAAGTATTTTCTTAGTTTAGTAGTGTGAATCTGACATGTGTAAGCTAGATATGTAATGAGCCTCAATGCTAACTTGTATTTATTGTTTTATATTCCCATTTTAAATGTAATGTTCTTTTAGACTCCTGTGCTATTAAACATTTTGTTTATTAATTTGATTTTTGAACATCATTTAATCTTTTGTTCTTGTTAAATGAGCAGAGTGCCGTTTGTAGTTTTAAATAAGTACAGAGAATAAAACCGCTACAAATCATCAATGAATTAATTTCCGTAATTACAGAAAATAACTGCAGGTGAGAAATTATTAAAGGACAAGTCAAGGCACTATAGCAACTTAATTGAGATGACGTTGTTAAGGTGTCTGCAAGTCTTTGTTGATTTATTTATAAGGGGGTAAACTGTTTAGAAACGGTTTAACCTCAAAGTTGTCCAAATAGCGTGGCCTTTTTTTTTTTTTTTTTTTAAGTCCCTGGCTTCAATGAGGATTCTTTGGACTAGGTATTGTGATAGGCTGATAGTGTCAGACGTTCCTCTTAGCCAGTCACTGACTTATACTTGAGAAAAATGCACAAAAAAGTATTTAATTGATGTATATGCAAGCTACAATGTAAATGCACAAAAATCGTATTTAAAAAGAAAATTAGACTAGTATAAAGTGGTAATAGAGCTTCTACTGGGACAGCTCATCAACCCAGAGTTATAAACAATATTTAAAACACCTCAAGGACCAATGACAAACTTATTGATTTTCTTAAAGACCCATTATGGAAACATTCCATCATATGTTATTTTTTAGTAGGGGCTGTTTCCCTGCAGGTAACCGGGGAACTGCAGATATAATTTGAAACCTTGGGCCCCATTCTAAATAATGAACTGTATGCAGTGCTCAAAGTGAGCAATGGATATAGCTCGTTAAATGGTGTTTAAATTCTCTGCAGTGATAACTTAAATCCCTGTTCACACTAAGGATACTGGGGCACCATTCTGTCAGCTGGAGCCATTTTTTTGTGGTCCCATACTGACAGATGAGTTGTGTGCAGTGTTCAAATTGATTGTTGCACACACATCTTTAATTGGAGACTTGAATCCCCCAGCTTGAAGGTCTAGTGTGAGCAGTGTTAAATCTCTAACACCAAGGAGACCCAGGTATTAGTCAATAGCGGCATCTATATTTGGAGGCCCCAAATTGACAGATGAATGTATGTAACACTCAGTGATGTCAGTGTGGCTTGAGGCAGATCCCAGCTTCTGAAAAGACCCGGACAGGGTCTCCTCCTCTCTGCTGATTGTGATGGGTATTGCCAGCATCCCAGTACCGATCACAGTGTGCAGCAATATAGGGAGACTTATTTTTATGTTCTGTTGGAATAGCCATTAGATGGCTGTTACAAACCACTCTGCTGTTTTTTGTTTTGTTTATCTTAAAATATTTTGAATATGCGTAGAGAGAACATTTAGGATGAGGACCAGCAAGAGAATATATTTGCTGACATTAGCAGAGGGACTCCTTATTTTATTGGGGTTTTTTTGGTACTAAAATTTCTGTACAAAATATACCCCATGGTGTCTACTATTGTAAAGGGTATGTATTTGTAGGGTAATTTGAACTATCAAACTGCAACAATGTTCCAAAATGAGACATGGGCCCATTAAAGCAATATCAAATTTGTAACTGCAAAAACTAAAGTCTCTTATATTGCACTGTAACTTTATGAGATAGTGGTACACAGAAGATTTAGTTGAGCATAATTTGTGTTGTTGAGAGGGGGTTGATCATTGCGGCATATATCCGTTTTATAAAGCGCCCATTACAAATGCAATGTATGTAAAACCTTTTTACCTTTTTATATAAACTGTAAGCAAAAAAATTGCAGCGTTTTCAAGCACAATAGGAACACCATCTGAGATACCCTGGAGTGTTTCACAAATAGTAGGCTTTTCTGGAGTAACAGTCAGGCTGCTATATTGCCCTAAAATGAGACCTAGGCCCATCAAATCCATCTATCAACAAGATTCTAAAAAAAAAAAAAAAAAACTGGTAAAATGTCTTATATGATACTGTAGCTTCACAAGATATTGGTAGAGATTAGTAGCTATGTAAAAAGTGTCAAAATAACCTTGGGCAAATACCCTGTGATTACTACTTTATATAAATATATACTTTTATACACTTCGAGGCAGCGGCACCACAGGCAGCATGGAGGCACAGGAGAGGCTGGAGTGAGCTGCTTCAGACCCTCAAGCTCAGCCCCAGCCAGCATCACCAGAACGTCTAGCAATCCAAAAGGTAAGATAACAGGAGGGTGGCTGCAAATATAAATTTTATAGCATGTATGTCAGAGTGTGTGTGTGTGTGTGTGTGTGTGTGTATGTATCCAAAAAATAATTTGACCACCCTATATTTGACCTTGTAACTTTTCAAAACACCATAAAACCTGTACATTGGGTGTACTGTTGTACTTGTAAGACTTTACTGAACACACATATGAGTGTTTTAAAGCAGTAAAATGTTTAATGATTGTGCTATTATTGGTGAAAATGCAGTTTTTGTATGGAAAAAAAAAATACTAACACTAACTTATACCAGGGTTTGTGACTAAGTGACTACGAAAAAAAGACTGAACATAACACATTTTGAATACCTTGGGTTGTCTACTTGTGCAAATGGTATGGCATGATAGTTTTTTTTACTCCTCGACTGCCATACTTTCTCAAAGGCAACATAGGTCCAGCAAACCATTCTGGCAAATTTCGGTGTGTAAAAACTCAAATGGGCAAGCTCTTTATTTGACCCTGTAAGTTTCCAAAAACACATAAAACCTGTACATGGGGGCATCATTGTACCTGTGGGACATTACAGCATGCAAATATGTGTTTTATTGCAGTAAAAGCTAACAACATTATGACATTCACAGTTAAAATGTCATGCAGAATATGGAAGATAACAATTCTTAATTTCTCACTTATTTCATATTTTTATTCATATTAAATTGTGTTCCCTATATAAACATTTGATGTGAAAGGAAATTTGTCTTAAACAAAATTATATATGTGTGTGTGCACTTAATATGAAATAGGTAAATTATAGTTGAGCAGACATATAACTCATATTCTGTTTTGTTTTGATCAGAACTTGTACAATTGTCTCTGTTCCTTAAGTGATCTTGTGCTGTAGTGAGGTCATAATGCTTTAAGAGGTATAATTTCTAGACTGCAGTAAATCTACAGTATATAGAATGTTCAAGGCAAACATTGAATAACTATTTTTGTTTTGTTTTGGTTTTTTTAATTTATTTTTGTCATCTGTTCCCTCTTCTGAGGCCAACAATTTTGAAAGTAAAAAGATTCTGCAAACATTCTGAGAGCTTTAATTGTATACTATATTCATAGACTAGCTCCATTTATTTAACCTGTGTTCTAACCTGGATATACATACTTTACACATCTAACAATGCAAATTGTAAATCTATTAATACTTTCTACAAAAAAAATCTCTTTAATACTGCTTCAGAAACCATTGGAATTGGCAGCAATTAAAGGTTTATGTGTACAAACTTTAACTTTAATAGCTCGGCCCCGACGACCAAAGGGGACCTCAAAATACTCCTCTCTGACCTGCATCAAGTGATGGCGGCGGACCGATAGCTTCTTAGGAGAGAAATACAGACCGCATTAAGGCCGCGGAGAAAGATATCCAAGGCACCCAAACCGCTGTGTCCAACTTGAGCAGCTCGGTACAACAGCTATACACTCAGCAGTGCAACCTCTCACAACGGGTGACTAACCTGGAGGATCAACAACGCCACAATAATATAAAAATTAGGGGCGTCCCTGCTGGGATAACAGCGGAGGAGCTGCCTCATTATACCCGGAGGCTGCTAGCCACTATCATGCCACCCGTGGTGGCCAAGAGACTCACCCTAGAAGGGATATACCGCATCCCTGGTTCCGGAACCACCAACACGCCACGGGATGTTATAGTTCACTGCACCTCAGCCACCGACAAGTCCCACATCATGGCTGCTATACGCGGGAAGACGCCCCTACAGTTCGAGGACTCTTAGCTACATTTTTTCCAAGACCTCTCCAAGGCAACACTTAATTGTAGTAGATCACTGGGGGCAGTAACAACTCACCTTCGGTCCTCTGGGGTACAGTATCGTTGGGGTCTGGCGGGCTCCCTAGTGGCAAAAAGCAATGCAGCTACACACAGACTTCGCACGCCTGATGACACAACAGTATTTCTGGAAGCGATAGGACTGCCACTACCTGCAGCAGGAGCACCCATTGACGCCCCTGACAGACATGAAAGATCATGGGATCTAGACAACATTGAGTTCTTCGTCCCCAGAAACTCCGAAACGCAAGGGACTTGACTAGCCAGAGCCCAAACAGGACTCATGCTGCCAAACTGGACCAGAGAACATGGCTCTGTGCGGAAGTCAAAAGAACACCCAGTGTTATGCCTTAATCTTATGTTTTAATCTGTTATGCCTTCATTTTATGTTATTTTTAATTCAGTTATGTATGACTTCAACGATGACCACCCAGTCGCTCCTCCTAATCAACACTAGCATCCATGAGCACTGACTGGAACAGGGCACCATTCAAGTATAGTTACACTCCCACACCTTTCCAGGTGGGATATCACCCCCTCTCTCCCCCCTTTCTCACCCATGCCCTCCCTATCCATCCCAACACCCCTAGGTCAGGGGCACAATACTCAGCAAGGCGAGGGGCAGACAAGCCTTGCAATAAAACCACCTGGTGTTCACAACCTTGTAACTCGCTATGTCTTACCCTACAGTACATTGCCACTTCATGGCACCTAGTCCCTGTGAAGTACAAACGCGCACGCATGATATAACTTAAATATAAGAACACCATCTGTTTCCCATACCTACGCCTCACTCTAGGCTCCCCGGAGCACACATCTCTTGACGGAACACCAAACCTTTAATGCAACACTCCACCTAGCCTAGAGAGACAAGAGCTTGTAAAATAAAAATAGTGCAGACTAGCAAGCGTGACCACTGTTATTAATGTGAAAAAGCAATGTATAATATTTTCATTTCATGCTGACAACTGTTTCTGTCAAACGAAACTGCACTCCAAAAATAATTATAAAAAAAAAAAAAAAAAAACTGGAGAAAATAAATTCTAAAGTGAATACACACTGTGCATGAATTGTATATATTTGTGTTACAATACCGTGTTGATGTATTCTTGGCATAGTTACATAGCTGAAAAGAGACTTGCATCCATCAAGTTCAGCATTTTGATGCAACAACTTTTATGTAAATATCTTGTGTTATATACAGTTCTGGCAGTAGGTGGTGCTGTCATAATAAAAACTGCATGGCAATCTGCAACCATGTTTTTGAGGAGATAAGACTGTACACGCTTTATTTCTGCAGAGTTTTTCAGAATATCCAACAGATTATAGGCCCAGTTAAGGCCTGCTACAGTAAATAAATGCCAGATACAACAACAGATAAATACTGCAACAGGTCAAACATAAAAATGCCAAGTAACACAGCTTCAACAAAACTTTCATTTGCAAATCTGACAAACCAGAACCGGATATTTAAGATGTAGATTCTGCTAATAAGAAAAGGTACATGGACATGTGTAAATGATGACAGACCTGCATAACTTAGAGAGGAATGGATAGAGACAGGGCCGGCGCTACCATAAAGCGTCTGGGGGGCTCAAATGTCCGGGTGACTAGCAGGAGGGATGCACACAGCACTCCTCTCCTGCCAGTCTCTTTATGTAGCGTGGCCAAGCTCAAGGCATGGCGCACGGGGCCGACAGAGGAGATCAAGGGATTTCCCTGTCTAGCCTCTAGAAGACCAACGCTTGTCTGGCGCCGGCCCGAGAGGATGTTTATCTGTGGCTGCCCAGAGAAAGGATTTCTCTCTCTTACTGTCAGAGCGTTGCCACGGTAATGTGCGGCAACGCTCTGTTACTTCCCAGGTGGCAGTCGGAAGAAGCTGCTGACAAAGTAGTCTCCCACTAGACCACCAGGGAACAGGATTCTCGCCTCCCTTGCCAAAGGAAAGCCTCAGGGAGGGGGGAATAGACTTAACTCTTCTTTTCACACTACACATTTCCTCCATTTCAGCCCCAATCCCCCCCATGTAAGCCCTACCTCCCCCTTCTCAGCCCAAATCCCCTACCTCCCCATCTCAGCCCCTATTTCCCCTATAAGCCCAATTTCCGCACGCATCTCAAGCCCCAATCCCCCACCTCCCCCATCCCAACCCCCCATCTCCGACTCTATCTTCCCTATAAGCCCCATCTCAGCCCAAATGCCCCATTCCAACCCCTACCTCCCCAATCTCATCCCAATTCCCCATCTCAGCCCCTACCTCCCCTATAACATCCCACTCTTCCATCTCAGCCCCTACTTCCAAAATGTCAGCCCTTATCTCCCCTATAAACCCCATTTCAGACCCTTTCTTAGTCTCTACCTCCCAATCTCACCCCAATCCCCCATCTTAACTCCTACCTCCCCATCTTATTTCCTACTTTCCCAATCTCAGTCCGTACCTACCCATCACAGCCCCTATCTCCCTCATTACTACCCTTATTTCCCCATCACAGCCATTAACACTCAGTAAATTCCCTCTACAGTTCCTACGGCCCCTAATCCTATCACTGTCCTTATTATTCCATCACAACCACTACCCCTATCACAGCCCCTAATTCTCCACTCTAGTTATAACCTCCCTCACAATGCAACAATTATCCCCTATATATACTGCTGCTTAAATATTAATTTGTGATGTGGCTAGACTACTAAATATGATCTACAGATCAAAGCTAGACCATGATTCTTAGGAACCTTATTGCACAGGCCTAGAATGTAGCTATGTAATTGTGATGACGTGCATAACTTTGTATGACTGTGTCTGATTTGCTATCACTACAGCTGCTTCAACGGAAGGCTAACTCAACTGTTTAACTGTTTGTTACTGGACTATTTTAGTGGTCACGTTTTAACCACTTTTTTATTTGTGCTTTTATATTTTTTATCAAGACTAAGACGTTCTTTTATTTGTATAAATAAACTGTGTTTGATGATATCCCGGTTACAATGTTTTTCTTTGCTAAATCACAATTGCAATACTAAGCTGTGGATTATCAACACCACTTTATCATCTACGAGAACAACAAGTATCCTGTGAATTAATTCCACTACAACATACTCATCACTGTGTAGGTTCATCTGCACTATACCCACAACAACCTGTGGCTTTATTTGATTAATTTTTTCCTTTTTTAATTATTAAGGATAGATTTTCAAGAAGCGCTGACACGTTCAACTCCAATTTATGTATTTTTGCCTCTATATGTATGTCTATATGGAATAGACAAAGAAATGGGCGGGGTGGAGTAAGAGATACACAAGTGGGTGTAAGACATGCTAAAGGGGGCATATAAAACACTAAAGGTGGTGTAGGACACAAAAGGAGTAATACATTCAAGAGAAGGGAAACACAAAAGGGAGTAAGAAATTCTTAAAGTGGGTTACGAGACACAGAAGTGAAGATGCATGTAGGGGTGGCAAAATGCATCTTCGCCTGTATAGCCAAAAATCCTTGCACCAGCCCTGGATAGAGAAGCATCTGAAAGCTCTGAGCACTATCTCCTTTTGCATAGATGATGATCAAATAATATATATATTCAATTGTGAATCTACTAAAGAAATGTGGGAAGAGATAAGCTCAGCAATAAACAGTGTTTAATTAGAACGTTAGGGCAGACCAAACCGATGAAAGACCAGGATGTGCAAACTTATATAAGACGTATATTGGAAATGGTTGACCAACTGAGAGGTATAGGAGAAGAAATAAGATTTTCATGTTGCAGCACTGTTACTTAGTGGTTTATCTAAAAGATTTAAAACACTAGTTACAGCCCTTGATGCATGTTTAGATGATGAACTGACATTGAAATATGTTAAAGGCACGCTTGTGGATGAATATAAGCACAAAACACAAAGCATTAACTACGAAAGGGCTTCCATTAAAGGGATCCTATAGTGCCAGGAAAACAAAACCATTTTCCTGGCACAATAGGCTCTTGGAGTGCCCCCCTCCCTCAGCGTTGAATGGGTTAAAACCTCTTCAGCCACTTACCTAAATCCAGCGCCGGGCTTCCTCAGCGCTGGTGACTTCTCCTCCCCCGTCGATGTCAGCTCCCGAGTGTAGCCGCATGCGTGGCCAGAGGCGTGCACACATTCAAAGTAGCCCATAGGAAAGCATTACTCAATGCTTTCCTATGGGGATCTTATTTGACGCTGGAGGTCCGTGAGGACTTCCAGCATCAAATAAGTTCAATTTACTCAGTGTAAATCGCGGAAGCGACTCTAGTGGCTGTCAGGGAGACAGCCACTAGAGGCTGGATTAACCATGCAGTGTAAACATTGCAGTTTCCCTGAAACGGCTATGTTTTCAGCTGCAGGGTTAAAACTAGGGGGACCTGGCACCCAGACCACTTCATTGAGCTGAAGTAGTGTGGGTACCTATAGTGGTCCTTTAAAGATGGAAAATAAGAATAAAAATAGCAATATGCAGCTAGTAGCATGAATGTTTTGTGTGCAAGAAATCAGGTCACTTAAAGGCAGATTGCACAATTTGAAAAGCCAAAATGCAAAAACAAGTTCAATTGCAGAAGGCCAAAAGTGTAAAAGAAGAAACAGATGAAACTGAAAATGTTTTTCAATATAAATGTGGCAAAATAGAACAAATCACCACAGCTAATGGGCAAATAATGTAATCAGAAGGAATAGGAGATGGTTTTCTTTACTGCCTTAACTCTCAAAATATCACCAGAGAGATACTCTTGGAAACAAAGTTCTATATGTGCCTGCTCTTGAAAGTAATCGTTTGTCAGCAAACAAGCTCACAAAACAAGGCAATGTAGTGACTTTCCAAGGTGACAGCTGTATCATCACAAAAGGGGATTGCTTACTCTTAAAAGCTAAAATCACAGATAAACTGTAACGGCTGAACTGCAGTTAAATGGTTAATACTGCCAAAGAGAAAAAACATTCAAACTACATCCACATTTGCCACAGAAGACCTGGTGCGATAAAGAAGATAGTTAGGAATAATTGTGCAAGTAATATAAAATTAGTCCATTTGTTCAATTAGTGAAATGTACCAGCTGCATTAAAGAAGAAATTACAAGAAAAGTGTTTTCAAAGAAAAGCAACAACAGAACTCAAAAGCCTCTGGACTTACTTAATTCAGACCTTTGTGGTCCAATAGACTGCAGGAAATAAGAGGTATTTTCTCACTTTAATTGATGATTACTCTAGGTATATTAAACTGTATTTGAAATACAAGAGACATGTGAACAATATCTGGCTCAAGTAAATAACACATTTGGCAAAATGCTAGGTATATTGCATAGAGACAACGGAACTGAATATACAAGTGGTATCACACAAGCTATTCTGAGAAAGCACAGAATTATGTTGCAAACTACAGTTCCATACAACCCAGAACAATATGGGATTGCAGAGAGAATGAACCATACTCCTTCTGAGAGTAGAAGGAGTATGCTTTTTAATGCAGATATTCCAACCACATACTGGGGAGCTGGGCCGCCATCAGGGGGTGACAACCTTGACTGTTGTCAGGGCCGCCAACCGAAATTTTGGGGCCCCTGACAAAGCACAAGGTCTGGGCTCCTCCCCTCCCTCCCGGGCCCGCCCACGCCCTACCTGGTCCGCTGACAATAATGCAGGACTGAATGTGGTGTGTATAGTGGAAATGAATTAGAATATGTGTAATGGATGTAGTGTTTGTGTGTATTAGATACTGTTTGTACAGTGAATGCAAAGTGTGAGTTTGTGTAGCGGATGCAGTGTGTCTATTGAACGCAGAGTGTGTTTGAGTAGTGGATATTGTGTGTGTACAGTGATGTAGTGTGTGTTTGTGTAGTGGATGTAGTGTTTGTATGTACTAGATGAAATGTGTTTAGTGGATGCAGTGTCTGTAGTGGATGTTGTGCGTGTATTAGACGCAGTGTCTGTGTGTAGTGAATGCAAAGTGTTTCACTGTGTGGTGGATGTAGTGTGTGTCCTGTGAATGCAGGATGTTTGTGAAGTGGATGCTGTGTGTACAGTTAATGCAGAGTGTGTGTCAGTATAGTGAAGCATAGTTTAGTGAATGTAGTGTGTGTGTTAGTGCAGTGAATGCAGAGTGTGTGTAAATTTGTAGTGAATGCAGAGTGTGTGTTAATGTGTAGTGAATGCAGAGTGTGTGTTAGTGTAGTGAATGCAGAATGTGTTAATGTGTAGTGAATACGGAGAGTGTGTTAGTGTGTAGCGGATGCAGAGCGTGTTAATGTGTAGTGAATGCAGAGAGTGTGTCGGGGATGCAGAGTGTGTGTTAGTGTAGTGAATGCAGAGAGTGTATTAGTGTGTAGTGGATGCAGAGTGTGTGTGTTAGTGTAGTGAATGCAGAGTGTGTTAATGTGTAGTGAATGCAGAGAGTGTGTTAGTCTGTAGTGGATGCAGAGTGTTTGTTAGTGTAGCGGATGCAGAGTGTGTGTTAGTGTAGTGAATGCAGAGTGTGTGTCAGTGTAGTGGATGCAGTGAGTGTGTTAGTGTGTAGTGTATGCAGAGTGTATGTTGTATTAGTTTATGCAGTGTGTGTGCTGTGTTAGTGTATGCAGTGTGTGTGTGTTGCGTTAGTGTATGCAGTGTGTGTGTGTGTTGTGTGTGTGTGTTGTGTTAGTGTATGCAGTGTGTGTGTTGTGTAAGTGTATGCAGTGTGTTGTGTTAGTGTATGCAGTGTGTGTGTTGTGTTAGTGTATGCAGTCAGCAGAAGTGTGATTGTTGATGAAAACCTCTATGTGTTCAAAGTTACACAAACTGACACACAACTATGCAAACCGAGGGAAATTACATATCAACAGGAAGACAAGGAACAAAGTGACACACAAATGGAAATTAACACTGACAATACAAATGGTGAAGATGAAGAAACTGAGCCACAAGTGACTTCAGTTAGGAAATCCACCAGAAGTAATAACGCTATCCCAGCCAAACATCTGTCTTATATGGCTCGCTTAGAATTACAACCAAAAGCAGGTTCATGGGACGACATGCAAAGACTGCCAACCAATGAGAAACAAAAGTGAAATAAAGCTGCTGATGAAGTGATGACAGATTTTACTGTTCACCGTTTCTTGTGGTATCTTCTAATTTGTCATAGTCAAACTGCATGGCAATCTACAGCCAGGTTTCTAGGAGATAAGACTGTACACACTTTATTGCTGTAGAACTTTTCAGAATATCCAACAATTTGAATCACAAATATAAAGTACCCAATACAACTATGAATGGGGTGAGGGGAAGATATACGGCCTAATAACTGGCCTTAGATGGATCCAAAAGCCTGATGAAGATGGATATAAGCTTGTATGTGGAGATGTGGCATGAGTAACCTGTTATGTTCTGACAGCTACTAATTTGTTTAAGCATAGCTTTAGGTAAAAATTTCAAGCTTTTATGCTTAATTAAAGGAGCAATCTAAATACCAAAACAACTTTAGTTTTAACTTAGGAAGACTCCAAAGAAATAAAACACTTCAAATATAATTAACAATAAAGAGCACACTTAAACTGTCTATAGCATCTCCAGATAATATTCTATAAATAATAACATAAACACAGAGTGCAGACAACCTGGTATAAACATATATACAAAATATAAAGTGCAGGGAATGTCTGGAATAAAACTCACATTTACCAGAGCCAAATCACCCCTGGCTCTGGGTTTAAAGAAAGCAGATTGAGAGGGATAGATTGTACAGGATGAGTATACCCAACTAAAAGGTTCATTCAGCCATATATGTTTTTTCTATAGATCTAGGAGACAAACAGAG